TATTAATTCTCTCATATTAGCTGTTACTTGTGTTAGAAAACATTGTTTTACAAAAAAGTGCATCATAAATAAATTGCTACATTAAAATCTATAAAAAATGCAAAATAATAAGTATCTTTTCATATTCACATGACCCATAGCTCCTTCAGTTTGATCTGTATAATTTAATATTTTGACTATAGATCTACCTAATACATTTTATTTAATATTTGGTTTGAAGTTTGGCCAAAATAAGTTGATCAACTAATAGGCAAAAGGTTGCTTATAAACCACATATGTCTGTATTTCATATATCAATTAGAAAAGTATCGCAGAGAGATTCATAGATAATAGATTTGATATTGTTATGCTGGACTAAGTATATTTTCCTATTAATAATTTTTAGAGAGAATGATTAATATAAATAATAAAATAAAAAGTATATTAACAACAACTTATTTATAATTTAATATATGATGCATAAATAAAAATGTCATAAATATTTTTATGATTAAAATTATCTATTAATATACTTTCAATTTATTTAATTACCTTCCCTCAATACATTTCATTATATTTCATAACTTTTAGTTGTTAGGTGTTTTTATAATTACATTAATTTCAATTTATATTTTAGGTTCTATACTTTATTAGTGATATCAACAGCATTATTCAACAAACCTCCTTTTAAAAATTTAATTGCAAATGGATTAGTTTTAGCATCTGATGGCCAAAAAATGTCCAAACGTAAAAAAAATTATCCAGACCCCTTAGAAGTAAGATTTTTACTAATATAAATGATTTAAGTTCAATGACCTCAGAAATCTAAATTTTTTGTTGTAATAAAATAATAACAATAATAATTGAACATATTTGATTAATTCTTAGGTTGTGGACAAGTTTGGTGCTGATGCTTTACGGCTTTATTTAATTAATTCTCCCGTAGTGAGAGCAGAAAACTTAAGATTCAAAGAAGAAGGTGTGAAAGAAATTTTAAAAGATCTATTTTTACCTTGGTATAATGCTTATAGATTTTTCATTCAAAACATTCAGGGTACTCCTGTAAGTTAGAAATATTTATTCTAATAATATTTATAATTAATATTTAAATTAAACATACATTTTTATTTAGGGTATTGTGTACAAGCCTAATAAAAAATTTTGTAGTACTCCTAGTGAAAATAAAATGGACCGATGGATATCATCTTGGACACAATCATTAATTGCCTTTGTTAGACAAGAAATGGCATCATATCGTTTATACACTGTAGTTCCTAGACTAGTAAAATTTATTGATGTTCTTACTAACTGGTATGTTCGTTTGAATCGTCAAAGACTAAAGGGTGAATGTGGACCATCTGATAAACAAGAATCATTAGACACCTTATATCATGTACTTATGACCCTTGTATATCTTATGGCACCTTACACACCATTTATATGTGAATTAATGTATCAAAATCTAAGAAAAATTGAAAATCTCAAAGAACAAAGTGTACATTTCCATATGGTACCATCTGTGATGTAAGTTATTTTATTTTTATTATTCAATATTTTTTATCATAGATAAATAAAACAAAATGAATATATAAAAAATATTTTGTTTTCATTTTCAAAATGAAAATCTAAAAAATATAGCATTTTATTCAACATATTAAACAAGTGTAAAAAAAATTACAGGGAACATTTGATTGATAAAAACATTGAGCAAAGTGTAGCAAATATGCAAAATATTATTGAAATGGGTAGGGTTATGAGAGATCGGAAAACAATTCCAATTAAGGTATACAATAATTGTATAACTTAATTATTATTTAAGTTTTATAAAAAAATATTATATTAATTGTACTATACTTTTTGCAGTATCCTTTGCCAGATATTATGATTGTTTCTGATGATCCAAAAATAATTCAAAATGTGAATGAATTCCGTAGTTATATTGAAAAAGAATTAAATGTCAAAACTATAAATATATCAAAAAATAAAAGTAAATATGTGAAACTCAGAGCTGAACCAGATCATAAAACTTTAGGTTCCAGATTGAAATCAGATTTTAAAAGAGTAACAGCAGCCATACGAGTAAAAAAATTTTGATTAATATAGTCAATACATACAATAATAGTAACAATTTGTTTTAATTATAAAGGAATTAACTGATGAGCAACTTCAAGCTTGGCAAAATGAACTATCTGTTTTTGAGAACTCAGAAAAGAATGATGAACAAAAAAAACCAACACTCAAAGTTTTAGAACATGAATTAGATGCTTCAGAATTTAGAATATTGTACAATTTCACTGGAGCTGAAGCCGAAGAAATGGCAAAAAGTTATGAAGCACAGTTAAATCATGATGTAATGTTTTAACATATACTTTTTTTATTTCCTTTTTTTTTATAATGATTTATTTTTAACATTTTAAATAAATAACTTTATGCTAGTATTGGATAAGATAGAAAATCCTGTATAATTGTAAAACAAAATTGAATCTCAAAAACTATAAATTAAGACATAAGGTTTCCTTGATCGAACTATATAAGTTATGTTACTTTGGAAACTACTTAAATTATTTAAAATTAAAAAATATATTTTTCTGTTTCTTTAATTGTTGATTAAAGATACCAAATTATATTACCTATAATTAAAGAGTTTATAAATAGTTATCTAAAAAAACACTATTCATTTAAAAAAATGTCTAATTACAAATTGAGTTTAATATTTATAAACTTTACAGAGTAACAATTTAAAGTTTTTATATTTTAAAATATATAATATATTTATTTATTTATTATACACTTGTAGATTTTATTGTTAATGAATGTTACACCAGACCAAAATATGTTAGATGAAGGTACTGCTCGTGAAATTATTAATAGAATTCAAAAGTTACGAAAAAAGGCTCATTTAGTTCCGACAGACTTAATTAAGGTTTACTATAGCATTCAGCCAAATGGAGAACTTTCCAGAGTTGCAAAAGAGTTTAGTGAGTTCATTACTAGTGCACTTAAAGTACCATTTATTAATGAACCAGCAGTTGGAAATGTGATAATAGAAGATTCACAAAATGTAAATATAAATATCTATTTCTAGAGTAAATAAGTAAACCAATTAGTTTGAATAATTTGAAATTTATAATCTAAAAATAAATTTATAAAAAAGTAACTGAGTAGAAATTTTATTAATTTTTTTTTTTTTTTTTTAATAATAATTTATGGTTGAGAATTAAAAACATTCAATTTATATTGACTATTAAACTACATAATTTTTAGACTCTGAAACATTTAAAATTAATACTTTTTGACAATGATATTAAATTGTTTTTAAATCAAAACATGAAAGCATTTTATAGTTAATATAGAAAAAAATATTATTGTTTTTATTTAATTATTTATATAGCTCAAAGGATCAGAGCTCAAAATAATACTGACAAAAGAAATTTGCAAAAAAAATTTACCAGTTTGTAGGTAAGTTATAAATTATTAAAAATTTATAATTAATAAAAATTGTTATAATAATTATTTTTTATATAGATTTATTAATGTAGAAATTCATGGAATTAATGCAAAGTATGGTGCTAAAAATGAAAGTACTATTCTTCTTGAAAATCCTGTTGGAAAAAATATTTTAAACATGGATAGTTTAACTCATGAAGTAAGATTAAACTTAGTTCATCAATTCAATAATTTTATTCATTCGATTCTCAAATATTTAGATCCAGAATATGTTTGGTTTATTTGGAGTAGATATTTTATTGAAATCTTCAGAAGGGGAAAAATTAACTGATGATTTATTGAAAAAAATTAACAACTGTACTATTGTGGCGCAAAAAAAAATTGAACTCAAACATTTTAAAGTTATGAATAGAACTTCGTCAATTATTAAGTATGTATAAAATTAATACTTCTATTATACTATAAATTTAAAATTATTATTGAGTAATTAATGTAGAAGCAAGTGTATGAAAAGTTGATTGAGTTATTATAGTGTATAATAAAATTATTCTGATTTGTTTCATTAATAATTGTAAACTATTATTATGGGTTAGACTTTATGCATTTATTTTAGTCATACTGATTACATTATTGAAAATACATTTTCTTTTTTTGTTTTTCTTAGTTCTAATGTATATGAATTAAGATTTTAGTTTAAAAGGTTTAGGAAGATCACTTTCCAATAGAATAAAAAAGTTTCTGTGTTACTATATATACCTATGATAAATTTCTATGGAATTAAGTGTCTTAGTAGTGGTCGAAACATATTTTATTAATGCATGGTTTTAAACCCTAATTATTATACTTCATAGACTGTAAGTAAAAAAATGTTTATTCTACATATAAAAACTCATTCATACCACTGAATTAAATTATCTTATGAACTGTAATAATTTTGGTATCACAGATTAATATTTGACATTATTTTAGATCAATAAACATCAAGTATGGATCAGAAACTGGTACTTTGCTTTTACACAAAAAGGATGAAGATGAAAATTTAGAAAGTTTAAAATCCAAAGTATCAAGTATTTTTAGTATTAATACTAAAAATATTGATTTAGTAAAAGAAAATGGGCTTATTATTGTTACAACTAACTAAAAAAACTTAGTCACGAGTATATATGAAATAAATAACGTTTTTCCATATTTTGTAGTTACTTAATTAATTAATTTTTTTTAATTAGTAATTTTTAATTATTAGTAGTATTATTTGTTAACGGTAGAAATTATTTTTTTAATAATTATTTTGAATTGGCTATTGGATATAAAAAAAAAAAAGAGTATAAGAGGAGTTAGGTATTAAATTATTAATATCTTACTTTTATATTATAAATTGATTATTTAATTTTTACATGATAATTTTAAATAATTAAGATAGTAACATAAGTTATTATAAAAAAATTATTTTAATATATTTTGTTTCTTGAGGCATCATATTTTTAGAATCAGAATTATGTATGTAGTCATCACTGTTTTAAATAGTAAGCTTCTAAAACAAAACAAAAATATCATATTTTTTAAAGTCAAATAAGAATTTAAGGCTGAAGAGTATATATAAATTATAATAGTAACAAGGTGTATATGAATTAATTATATGATTATAGATTTATAAAACATGAGTTTTCTTAAAACCGTAAAAAATGCTTAATATAAATTAATTTTGAGTAATGATGAGCAATTCCCATAAGTGTATCAATTTCCTATATGATTGGGCAAATTTTTAATAGGCTAAAAACTTAAAATTGTTTACAAGCAATAGAGGATTTAGGAAGGGTCACGGGATCTTTTTACATTATATAATTTGTAGGGTAAGACTGATAAGTACTATGAGTAAAATTTTATACTGTAGAACCTCTTTAGAAAAATGTTAAAATCCACTACTATTAACAAAACAAAACATACGTTTTTATGAAATAAATTTTAATTTGCTAGGTACAATTAACACGACATAATAAACTATAAACTCAACAGAACTAATAAGTTATTATCATAGAATTCATTAAGTTAAAACATTATGAATTTTGATAACGGTCTTGTACTCTATTATNAAACATACGTTTTTATGAAATAAATTTTACTTTGCCAGGTATAATTAACACGACATAATAAACTATAAATTCAACAGAACTAATAAGTTATTATCATAGAATTCATTAAGTTAAAACATTATGAATTTTGATAACGGTCTTGTACTCTATTATGACACTATAGATTACATTAGTATATTATTTATGACTGACTTGTAACAAAAATGTATGAAGTAATCATAAAAAAAATATACTCTCAATTTTTTTGTAAAATATATCGATTCAACAATAAAATCGGACTGACTATCGATACAAAAAATCGATACATATCGCCCATTACTAGTCTTGAATAACTTCAGTGGTGGGAAACACTTAAGGAGTTGGTATTAATTCTGTATTGAACTAGTTTGTTGCTCGAACATTTTTACATTTGACATTCGAATATGTACGCACTCGAGTTGTAAAATGAATTTGGTAGTACTACCATTGAGTATAGATAAACAATCTACACTCAATGGTACTACGATAAAATGTTAAAATTGTTGATTTTAAAATGCAGCTAGAGATCGCCACAAAGCTTTACATTCAGGATCTATTGTTGCTAAAGTACGTGTTTAACGACTAATGTCATTGAGTTTATTTCTATATCAAAGTAGTATGAACTGACACTAGTTAGTGTGACATGTGATTATTTCTTTAACCGTTTCGTAATCAGTAAAAATCGCAATTTAGTAGAATCAATGTCAAGATTTCAATTGTTTCACATTAACATGTTGCATCTTACATGTTACAGTTAAGACGAATTGGAAACTGGATAAAAATTGCCCAAAGTTCATTTTTGCCTAAGGTAATCTTAAATTTTTAATGATAAATTATTTTACAGATATTTTATAAAAAAAATTTTTTTTATTGAGTATCGCAAAAATAGAAGGATTTTTTATAGTTTTATTTTTAATTTTTTCATTAACATCTAAGTAAAAACTGTATTTGTAGTTTCACACGTGTAATACAAACAACATTTTAATTAATTGATATTTGATAAAAAAAATGTCTATTGTAGAAAATCTACGCGACCATAATAGTACACTTTACGTTAAATTTTAAAAAAGTTATTAGCTAAGTTCCAATAACGTAAGCATAATTTTTTAATCCTACTTTTTATATATTTGAATAATTTTTATTATGAAAAAAACTAAATTAACTAGAATTTAACTAAATTAAATAAGATAAATTATAAAACCATTAGTATAGCCAGGAGGCTGACTTCGGACGTCTTAACTTATTTATATTGTAATAGTTTTTGTTTTAATATAGTTACATAAAAAATCATCAAATAATTATTTTTATTAAAATTCTAAATTTGCCACTTCAATTAAGTATTAAGGTATGTATATTATAAATGAAAAAAAAAATTATTTAAATACATTACTGGTTTACTTACTGAAACTGTATTTGGTCGTTAAGCTAAGGCGGCCAATGATGCATTTATTACTGAATGTTAAAACAAATTATATTTTTAATGACACTTAACTATTTCCTATAGACACATCCTGTTAACAAATTGACGAACTGATGAACATCAGTATCTTAGTTAGCTATAAATTGACAAGCAAAACAAATAGAATAGTAAAACACATATATATATATATTATTATAGTACCTTTAAACGATCTGAAAATAAATTAAAACATAATAATGATATAATTTGCGTGACCACGTGTGTATTAAATGTAAAATTTTAAATAAAAATACCAGTGGGGTCGCGGCACAGTGGTGACGTAACATAGTTGGGTCAAGTATAACGATATCTGACAGTGATTAAAATCACTATCTTAAAAAACACTTCGATGCAAATCTATAGATATTGTTTAATCTTAAAAAATTGGTGGATTATTCCAAAAGCTACATGATCTCCTATTTCCTTATTTATATCCAGATTACAAGTTTTATGATTTATAAGAGTAACATATGTATAAATATATAAAGGGAGATGGTTTTATTTTAAAAAAAAAATGGTGTCCATTGGAAGAGGTTTATGAATAGTATTTATCATAAAAAAATTATATTAATCCATATATTTTTCAAAAAGTTATAGCATTATAAAATTAAAAATATAAAAAAGAATTTTTTTACAAAAATTGTATATTTTTTACTAACTTTGATGTCCATTTCAACCATAAAAATTAACAGACAAAAAAATAATAATAAAAAAAAAACACATCATAGTCAAAAAATACCTTCTCAGCTTTACATCGAAGCTAAATAGGTCTTTTAACACAAATTTCCTAGTTATCGGTTACATAAAATATGAATAGCGCTGATCCAGGTAGAAGGGTAATGCGCCCTTTAGAATATGGCTCTTACATGACTAATATATTTTCTTAGTAGAAAATATTAAGTGTATTTAATATATATTAAAAAGTTTAGGTTTCTTACCAGTTTCACATCCCCCTAAAATAAATTCTAATTGCACCTCTGAATAAGAAGTCATCTAAATAGGTAAACGTTTTATCATTAACCCAATTTTACCCAATCTTATAGTGATTTGACACATTTAAAAAAGGGTATTAAATATAGATATAAAAATTTAAAGTAATAATTAGAATTCAAGTAATTCCTATCACAAATAGTAGTCGCCGAAGAATACAACTGTATAGATTTCCGTAATAGTGCTTTTAAAATAACTAATTAAACATTTTTCTCCATGCCATTTTTTATAAAAATAATTTATTTAAATTAATTTTCCAACAATAAAAAAAATTATAAATAATTAGACTTGAAAAAAACGAATCTGAAATCGAAGTACTTTCGATCCTTTATTTTTATTATGATCTACTAATGGATACATTTTTACTATTAGTATCAAGCTTAAAAATTAAAAAGCATATTGTTCATTTTTTTCTCATTTACGTTAAAAAATAAATACATTTTGCGAATTTATAAAAAGTTCGTTATTAATAAGATAAGGCGTACATTCAATGATATTTAAAGTACGCATTTTTTTAACTATTACTTTGTTTTATTGAAATATTTTTATTTTTAACATTGAAAAATGGTCAAGGCCACTACATTAATGTAAAACTATAAATACTGAGATAAACATTTCTTGAATTATATAATGCCCTTTCTCTCATTAGTTAACATTTTTATGTGTACTAGTTATTCACCAAAAAAACAATTTTATAAATCGGTCTCTTTTACTTTTTTTGATAATAGTAAGTTAAAATGCTTTTAATTTAGTTATTTGAGACATTATTTTGTCAAATTTTCATAAGAGAAGAATGAGGTGATTGTACTTTAAATTGATCCTATTAAGTTCATATGCTATTAAATTAAATTGAATAAGTTTTACCAACAAAAAAAAACCTAATAACATTTTAATCGTGAGTATTATGCTTTTTTCTAATTTTGTTCTTGGAAATGTAGTTGGTATCCCCTCCAAACAAAAGCTTAAAATATACACTTAATGTATCCTCTTTGTAGTTTGAATCCACCTCCACTTTTAATTTTATCATAAGTAAATATTAAAATATTGCATTCTACTGTACAAAATCTTAATCTATTACATAGTTTCTTAATTGTTTGGAAAATAATTTTTCTTTATAAATTACATGCTTTATATTTAATTGAAAGTAAATAAAATTATCTAAACCTTACTTGCCTAATATCAAGTATATAATGTACTTGTTACCATTAAATAGATAATATAACAAGGTAAATACAATACGCTGATATCATAGTGCGAGTAGATCTAAAAACACTTGAAATGCATTCACAAAAAAAACGTATAAGCAATAATTTAACACAGTTATTATCGTATTTTATTATTAAATACAACATGAAAATTGACTAGAGTTGTAATTCTAGTACTATTGGCTATATTATAATGTTTTTACTGAAAATAATATTTAAACATTGATGATGAGCCAAAAAAGGTCTTCAAAACAAAAGGTTTTTCTACTTCTTAGCAATGTTATAACTAGAAGGGGGGATGCCGTTCGTCCCCCCACGATAGTAATGGCCAAACTTAATGTAACGATAGGAACCTTTTAAAATAATATACCATGACTAAAGTTTATGTAAATTCTTTATGTAGAAAGTTTTTATTTTTGTGTTACTTTGTACAAAATCTTAGGAAAATTTTAAGGTTTTAATTATCTGTAATAAATTAAGATATTGTTAATAGACATTAATTATACTTATGTTATCAATTAATATTTATTCTTTGGATGACCGGTTGTTTGTCAGACCGCAGGGTATGTATATTTTTAAATAATACCAATGAAGTCATATTTGATTATTATCGAAAACGTGTCGTTTGTGTGCCGCCGTGACATGAAAAATAACAGTTGTTCAATCTAATGACGTGTATCTAGTTTATCAAATGAAGTTCATTCATTTAATACATTTTTTTTTTTACTGTTATTTTTGATCTGTTTTATAGATTAATAGTACAAATTTGTTAATATTTAAATTTAATAATTAAACATTTTTCAACATTGAAAATAAAGAACTACACTAAAGATAACTTAATTTTTTTTTTATTTGATTATAATAAAATGTAAATATTTTGACCGTTAATTCTTATAATTAATGGCTTATCACTGATATTTAAAATACACGCCCCTATATGCGTTTAGGCACAATATTTATAATACCTAATGGTCAATAAAATTAATAATTACTTTTTGACTATTGTACTTGTAGTATTCTTGTTATTTCGTGATTTGAACAAAATAGCGTTTTAATTAAAACGTAGTTAAAAAAGTTAAAAGACATTTAGTATTTATTAATAAGTATGAATAGGAGATATATGCATTTATAAATTTTGTTTGAGTTTATTTGAATTGTCCCAAGTTTGTGTAACTTTGTCGTAAGATTATATAGTAGCGTGCAAATATTTTTTTTTTAAGGAGTTTGATACTATTACCGGATAACAACATATTACTAAATCTTAAGTTATTCAATAAAAAATTGTATTTACTAATGGTGTGTTTAGAATAACTTAAATGTATGAATGCGTGTTTTAATAAATGACATTGATGGACTTTAATTTGGTTATCATTCATCAATAAATGCCTTGTAAAATAAGAAAACAATAAAATATTTAGTTTAGAGAACAATATTTAATAGTATATAAAATGAGCATCTACATTAATTGTAGTACGTAGAATCACAACTTCAATATAATTTTAATATTTAGAACCTGACCAATGACGATGCAGGAACTTAGGTAAAAGATTGACTAGGCTATTTCAATCTATTTGGGGAAGAGTGGATTATGCTTCCCACTTTAAAAATCATCGTCGAATAAAAATTACCAGGATGGATCTGCATCTCAGTCTCGCCATTACTTAACTTTATTTAGGTTTCAAACTAACGCCTTTTATTTTTTCCTTTGATTAGTTTCAATTATGCATTAAGCACTTAAATATTTTAACCATAAATATAGACATAGTATTAGAAAAACACGTGAATTTTAATTAAAACGGTATGTAATAATATGTTTCAGAAGAATTACCATGTCGGCCAAAAAAATATTACGGGCGTTTAATCCAATTCAAGTTTATTTAGTCGTTTTTCTCACTTTGACTTATTTTTTAGTACAATTAATATACAGTCAAACCACACATGCTCTTACATTGTTACTGGACTCGTACCATGTGCTGTGCAAATTAATTTATTTATTTGGATCTATATTATGTGCTAAGGTACATTTTATTATTTTAATTAAAAGACCTAATTAAAGTGATGTGAATAAAAATTAAAATAAAAGCTAACTAATTTATATAATCAATAGTGTTAACCATTAAACGTGTTACTTAATACATTTATAGTTAAATATATATTTTTTTATATACGCTTTTATTAACTCATTAAGGGCCATAGCGACCTCCCTCAAAGGAGAAGGTTTCTTAACCATTTATACTCCGGGACAGGTGGTTAATCCACACTTATAGTTTTATAGTTATATGTTTTATATTATTTATCAATATTTGTTATTTTTACATTAGTTCACGTCTATTTCAATTCTAATTTAAATTTCATCTCAAAATGTTTAAATACTTGTACATTACAGAGAGCATTTTTTTCGAATAGCTGTCAATGACAATTCATATACAGGGCGTCATTTGTGGAGTGGCAACTTGGGTATTTGTTCTAGTCTAATTGTTAATGAATGAACTAGGATCGATCAATTAGTACTATTGCTGACCGGGCCATATTTTGTGGAAGTCCATTCCTCATTAAAAGCCAATTTATAATAATCTAAGAAATTTAAGTTAAAATGAATTTTTACTTAATTAAAAATACATTTAATTATTTAATATACAAAAAAAATCCAACTTTAACAGCCTCTCTCTTGTCATCATAATCAAATACAACACAGATTATTACCGTTAAATACAAAACAATTTATCTCAAACAGTCAAGCCCGATTTAAAAATTGGGGCGAACGCCTCGTGGACCATGAACTTAAAGGGCTTATCACAAATTTTACTAGACTGTCATGATTAATAACATGCAGTTTTAGTGATTTTTTTGCTCATCACTTAATAATGGTAGCTATATTTTCAATAGAGGGTGCTCGAGTTTCATAATAAAAGAAAAAGTTTATTTATGATGATTGTCATATTAAAAAGTAATAGACATGAGTTGTTAGACATGGATCGTGAACGAAACAAGCGACTTTGTGATATGATGGAATTGTCAAAAATTTGCCCCATTCTAGTAAAATCTTAATTAACGTCACTGTTGATGTAACCAGTAGCGTACACAGGATTTTTCATTGTAAAAAGAAAATATATAATTTTTTTTTTCGGGTGATTATTTTTATCTCAAATTATGGTTTAGAAACGCCACTGAATACAACTTCTATAAACTGAAAAATGTATTTTTCGGACCTATTTTTGTCCACTAAACGGTGTGGCTGAGTTGCTTGAGTTGTAACCGCCTATATTAGTATTTTTATTTTATTTTCTAGCATAATAGTGACGACGAAGAAGGATGTTTAAATGAAGAATGTCTTGAAAAAACAGTCCCAAGCGAAGAGACTACTCATATGCTAGAAAATGACTTCAAAAAAGCATCTTCGACGGTAAATAATTATGCGAGACTATAATTTTAGTTTTAGTTGTTATCGAGGTGGACATAAGCCCATGCACTCAGACCTGTTAGTCCATTGTGCGCACCTCATACCGAATTGTCTTGATTCGGTTGAGTTGGGTTAATATATTATACCAACCATAGTCACCTCTATAGATGACCTAAGAGTCCTGTCTTTCTGGCGAAATTAACAAAAGAGACTATAATTAGATTATACTGTTGACTTTTGTTTTTGCATAAAAGTAAAAACAAACTATGCAGAATAAATAATTGAATTTAAAAATAAATTTTTAATGTACCATTTTTATTGAATAATTGAATGATTGTCATGTTATTTTCGTATTTATGAAAGATTAAACATATTAGTTTTTCCCTCAATTACACAAATAAAACTACCATTAAAATTGTTTAAAAGTTTATTTTTAAAAATTCTACTTCATTGGAAATAACTATAAAATTATATACTACATGTTGTTTATTTTTTGTTATTTTATTAATTGATTTCTATTATTCGCCTAAAATTTTTAGTGTACACACCCACATCCCGAAAGGAAGTTAAAAAATACCTTTGGATGGGCTCGAATAGAAGTAGTTATCATGCTTTGTGGTTGTGTTTTTTTGGCGTCACTCAGTTTTTCATTAGTTGTCGAAGCTAGTCAAACACTCATACACATTGACCATCAAGATCCAATGCACGAACCCACATCAGTATTTTTTGTTGGATTTGCTGGTATTATAGTTCACGGGTTATGCTACTTGATATTAGGTAATTAATATTCGAAATAAATGATTAACTTAATATATAAGTAATATAAATTTAGTATTTTTATTCAAAATCTGATGTTTTATTAATAATCTTAGGTACAATAGCTCCAAGTAGTTCAGCGACTACAGAAAATGGAGACATTGTTCCATTAACATCTAGTCAATTAATGAAGCAAAAAGTACAAACAAAAAATTGTAACTTCCGAGAAATGTCTCGAGATATAGTTGGTAGACAATAATGTTTATGATAAAAATATATATGAATGTCATTCAATCTAAATAATATAATATTTTTGTTTAGGTTGCTCAATAGTAATGGTCTGTTCTGTCATTGTAAAATTTACAGATCCTAATTTTGCCAAATTCGTAGATCCTGCCTTATCCATTCTATCAGCAATACTATTACTGTACCTCAAATTTCCAAGCAGTAAGTGTAAAATAAAATATTACATTATTCACAAAATACATTTTTTAAATGTCACAAAAATGAGTTATGACATGAAATAAATGTAAACAAATTCTGTAAGGAACAAGCCTACAAATAAAAGAGACCATCTCGTATTTTATATGATAAACTAAAAAGTGTTTAACTTATTAAAAAGCGTCTTGAAAAATTTTAATCTATCTTTTCTGGAGAAAGTTAATATATATATATATAAGCTCTATGAACTATCTTGGCTTTTTTTAAAACAACTTTCACTTTAAAAAGATATGTATTTAGAAATCTTATTCCTGCATATAGTGAACAAATTTGATTCTATTTATGTTATTATGTTTATACAGTCAAACATATTTTTGTAATTACATTTTAGTGAAGGAATCTTGTTTGATTCTTTTACAAACAATACCTGATCACATGAACATTGATACAATTTGTAAAGAGTTGATGCAAACATTCCCAGATATAGTGAATGTACATGAACTTCATATATGGCAACTTACTGAAGAAAAAACTATATCTACAGCACATATCATATTTTTGAATCCCAAAGTGAGTAAGAATTATAAAAATTATTATATAAGCTGCAAGTTTAATAAATTGTACTTATTCCCACTTTTATATAAAATTTATTAAAAATAATTTGAAGGATGGGATGGATTTATGTAATTTGAGACAGACCTGGAACTTAAAATATTTCTAGGGGGATACCTTACAAAAATTTACCAACTTCTTGGTCATTACAAAATTTTAAGGAGTTAAAATTAAAAGGTCATCAACTTATATATAAATTGTTGATTAGTACTAAAATGGAAAAAATTGTGAATTAAATCAATTTAAATAGTTTTTGTAAACTTTTGGTATACTACCCTATTGAAAAGTATCTCTCATGTAGTATGGAGGATTGGAAAACCTATTTACTATTTGTAAACAGGTATGTTCATGCCTACCAGTCCCAAATATTTGGTAACTACTTGTTGTTAATGTTGTCAATCGTGTGAATTTTTATCTTTACTGTTTTGAGACTAGGATTAGTGGGGTTGTCATTCTTGTGATTTAAACTTAATTTGATTTAATTGAAACATCTTTAATATATAGATATAATAAATATTTTTTAGGATTATTTAAGAATAAATAAAGCCGTCATTAGTTTTTTCCATGAAAATGGTATAAAAGAAGTAACAATACAACCTGAATTTTTTAAAGATGATCAAAATATACAGATGATTCCTGAATATGGTATGGGACAGTGTTTAGTTAAGTGTAATCAAATTGAATGCTATGATAGAAATTGTTGCGAGTTAAATGACATGATTGTAAGTAAAACTTTGCTTTGTTATAAAAGTAGTTAAAAGTATAATAGCCAGCTTTTATGCACTATTAATTATTAAAATGTTTCCATAAAATCAATTTCAATTACACCTATCGTGTTTCTTTTTTTATCCAATTTTAACACTGCTAAAATTTATATAAATATAAGAATGATTCAAAATCTTACACATAATTTTTTGTTTTCTATTCAATATTCAGTACTTTATAAAATTAATATAAACTGACTTAAATGTTTTGATTTTTTTTATTCATGATTTTTTCAATTTTTAATTGCTTTTTTATCAACATTTTTGTAAATTATTTCATCTTTTATAAAACCAACTAAATTAAAATTATCTAGCTTTAGGACTGCTGAAAATATAAAGAACAAAATTAAATAAATTTTTCTGAAAAGTGTAATATTTATAAAGTATGAAAAATATATATTTAGGGGCCAAATGGTTCACATAGTTTCTTACAAAAATTTTACAGCTGACTTAAAAATGAATAGATCTCTCATTATTTTAACTGTATATGTATAGGACATAGCAATAACAGAAGAAACGAATCATTCTCATGGTAGAGTTCTAGAAGATAATGTTTCTTCTCCAGTTGACAGAATTCAAACTATAGTATGTAAAAATGACATACCTATTTCTATTTGATGTGATTCTGAGTTAAGTATTTGTTACAATAAATTTAATTTTTACCTACCTGTTGTTTTGATAATAATCTTAAGTTTTTGTTTTGAATTATAAATTTATTTATACTATTATTAACTTATGTTTTTATAATTGACAAATGTATAACTTTAGACAATTAAGTAAACTTAATTTTATTTCTCATTTAACTGTATAAAAAAAAATTATAAATGTATTTTTAATATAAATAAATAAATCTATTAAAGATAACAAATAATATCATTGGTATTGTGGTCTACTATTTTGACATTTGACGTGCATAACTGTGACGTGACTATGTTCAGAACTAGCCACTGAATAAGGAAATGATTCAAGTCCATAACAAGCTGCTCCATAGTTTCCAAATTTATCAACTACAACTATGGCACCGGTAAATTCTGGGTAGTAATCTGCAATTGTATTCATTGCTAGAATGGCAGCTCCTTCTGGACTATACCCCTGTTTCATTAATTGCACAGCCTGAAAACTAAAATCATAAATAGTTCAATTTTAATTTAACAAAATTTATTTAGATTCAGAATTATTTTATTTTTTTAATATAGTACCTAGGTAAAAACCGCATCAGTATATCTCCATCTCCTGTAGCTGCTGCAGCTCCAATATTATTCATAGCATATGCTCCTGATCCAGGAATAGGTGAATCCCCAACTCTTCTATTTTTTAAATCATGCATGCAATAAAATATAATATAGAAATTTCAATTAGTTACAGTATTTTTTATAAGCAGGCAGTAATATGAAAAGTCTTAGAAATTTTATTTTTATTAATTAATAAACACTTAAAGATTGTATTTTCTCATTTTTTTTTTTATTATATGTTAAAAAAAATATTAAAAAGTTAATTTTACCCTGGAATTTTGAATTTAGCTCCATTAGTAGAAGTACCTGCAGCAATATTACCTCTGTTGTCTATTGCTACGACTCCAATAGTATCATGATTAAATCTGTTGATTACACTACCACTAGATTTTGATTTCAATGTTCTAAGAGTATGAGGCTTATAAGGACCACATTTAATTTCTGGATTTGGGGTAACATTCTATTAAACAGATACAGTTATTATTCTAACTTGTATGATATTACTAACAATTTAAAAAATTTATTTTTTTATCATGTTTAAGTGCTGTATTCATAATAGATGCAACACATTAAAATTTTTCATTTATTTAAAATGAAACTCCAAGAAAAGAATTTTGTATGTACAGAGTGGCCCAATATTCATTGACAACTAAAATAACTTTAGATCTTGTTAATATTTTTTACTGATTTTTTTTTTTTTTAATAACAGTTATACATAAGGTTTATAATTGTTTAAATTTTAAATAAAATGTAAAAAAAAATCCAAGATAGCTATTTTGTAGAGTAGATTATAAGAAAAATTTTGGTAAAAAAATATCTTATTAATATTCAGTAGTAAATAGTCTGTATTATTTTAATGTTTGTAGAAATTTGAATTTTCATGTGTTATTTTATAGTATTAAACACTGAAATACGTGTTAAGAAAAGGACAGGAGAAAAGTAAGATAAGTAGTTTTACCTTTAAAGAGATAAAACTACTCATTAAATAATAGGTATTATTTGTATTTTTATTTGAACTAAAGCCATTCATTGGAATGTTAATAATTTTCATGGAAAAATCCATATCATATTTAGTGTGAAAAGATAGTGTTTACTTCTGTCCTTATATAATATAGCCAGAGTTTGATATCATAGAATAAATACTGAAAAATTCAAATTTTTATGAAATTTAAAATGTTTAGAAAATTAACTACCAAACATAAATGAGAATTTTTTTCACCAAATAATTTTTTTTAATTTAATTATAAAAATGATATTAATAAATTATTATTATAGCCCTCAATATATTAACTATTAAAAAAAAAAATAGCAAAAAAAGTTAATTGGATCAATAGTTATTTAAGTTGTCAGTGAATGCTATATATGCCAATCTAAATTCTATATTTTATTAGAGAAAAAAAGGAATTGCAGTATGGCACACCTTTAACAAACAATATTAATTAATTTATCTAATAAAATATAATTATAACCTAATAAATACACAGTTAATTAACTAACAATCCAAAAATTTGGTTGACAAGAATTTTTTTTCCAATTATTCCATAGATGTAAAGAAGAATTGGTACTTAAGTTTGTTTCTTTAAAACCCATTTCAATGGCAAATTGTGTGGCACCTTCACCAACTAATAATGTATGTTTTGTATTTTCCATGACATGTTGTGCAACTTTAGAAGCTTGTTTTATACGTTTTAAACCTCCTACTGCTCCTACATTCATAGTGGCTCTAAAAACTTTAGAATATTTTAATTTCTTAATTAAAAGTATACAATAATTAATATTAAAATACCCATCAACTAGTAGAGCATCTAATGTACTCTCACCATTTTCATCAGGACTACCACCAAAACCTACTGTACCATCACATTGAGATATTTCACATGTACTACATCCTTCAACAACAGCTTCTATTGCGGTACCATTAGCATTTAATATTTCCCAACCTTATTTAAAATTTTCAATAAGAAATTACTTTGTCATATAACACAATAATTATTTTACTTTTTGAAGCAGAATTTTGAAATGCCCAAGTATTAATAACTATTGGAATGATCAACTTAGTATTAGCTCTACTATAAATATAGAACCCTGTTAAAATAGTAACAATTATCAAGAATACCAGACTCACATAAACTAACAACTTAGTCACAATTTTTAAACAAGTACTCGCATCCATGTTAATTCTAATAGTAATAATTTACTATTATCTGTAAAAATATATAATTTATATATTTAAAATATATAACCTGCTATTTAAATAAAAAATAACTCACTTAATTAAGAAACTTAATAGTTGTTTTTTATTTAATTGAAATGAACACTAAAATGTTGTCTTCTATTTGACAATGAGTATATCATTTCTTGTTCATAATTTATAAATCATTATATCCTGAAATAACGCTTGATTAATAAAGTTGATACTTAACAAAATCAATTAATTATAACACATAAAAAAATTACTTGAACCTTACATAGATATAACTACGAAATAAAATACTCATAATTTCTATATCACTATTTTCGACAATCAACATGAATGAAGCGGTTTCAATACAAGTTTATAACAGTAAACAGATTCAAAATTTATTATCACAAGATACATTCTTATCTTTACTTTTTATTATTTGTGCCGTTGCCGTTACCAACAAGAGGACAACAGCGACCCCTTCTACTCCCTCCAAAATCAAGTACACAATAAAGAATAGGACCTAGCGTGCAGGCACACGTTGAATAACTATGTAAGTTCATGGTTGTTGTTTCTAGTCTCCTTAGTTAAATCATAATCACTACATGTTATATTCTTGTTCTGCTTATTGCACATCCTGCCCATGAATATAATTAACAGCCCATTGTCTTGTAATATATTTTTATCACGAATTCAGTTTAAGATTCTTATAGGTAAATATTATAACGTCCAATTGATTTCCAATTAAATAGTTTCTTGTCAATTTTACTAATATAACAATGTCAGCTACGACTAGAAGTGTGCGACATCAAACTCTGGAACAACAGGTAATATTACTTTTGTTAATCTCAAAATAAAATTAATAAACAAAAAATGATCAAAAACTTGTTTGATTATGTTTTAGAAACAGTTATTAGAAATGAAAATGCGCCAAGTTAGGCACGCACCACAGATTATTAAAGCATCCGACAACATTATACCCAGTGTTAGAATACATTCTAAATCTAGTAAATCATTAGAAATGAATTGTGAGTTGTTAATTAATCATATTAAATAATTCAATACTAGAATACATTTACAAAAAAAATAATGTATATGTGATCTAATAATGTAGTTAATTCATGATTTTTAAAATTAACTTAAAAATTAAAGCTATAATTAACTGGTTTTATTAGGTTATGATGGTCCATTAGCATATGCTATGGTTAATAACAGCCCCGATTCTAGTGATGTAATAGGTTTATCAAGACATTCTATTAATCAAGATGTAATTGAAGGTTTGAAAGAAAAAAATTAATTGCTTGACTAAAAAATTATAATGCTTACAATTTTTAGATATGAGGAATGAAGTAGCTGAAATGACTGTAGAGGAAAGAAGGATATCAATTGATACTGAAGATGAAGAATCTAGTTCTATATCACCTCTAAAAAGTATTAGTTCTATACATATTAAAGACAATAGTCCGTTTATTTATCCATCATCAACTTTAACTGATGTAAGTTTATTAATGCTTGTGAAATTTATTAATAAATGCATATCCTAGTTAGTAATTAAAGTATTGAATAATACTTACACAATAGATGTATTGGTCTATTAGGTATAGCTTATTATATTCAATATAATTTGTTTATAAAAATGTTTTATTAGTTCACTATTAATATAAAATTCAAATTATAAATTTGTTGTATTATTTTTAGACAAATGAGTTGGAAGGTGATATATTTGGTAATTTAGAATCATTTGTGATGGAACCTGCATCACAAGGTGTTCATTTCAAGTGCCGTATAACTAGAGATAAGAAAGGTATGGATCGAGGTTTATATCCTACCTACTACCTACATTTAGATAAAGGCAACGGATCAAAAGTATAATAAAGATAGAAATGTTGCTGGAATTTAATGATAATTAAAATAGTGTATTTTAGGTGTTTTTGTTAGCTGCTCGAAAACGAAAGAAAAGTAGGACATCAAATTATTTAATATCTACAGATCCTACAGATTTATCTAGAGGGGGTGAATCATATATAGGAAAATTAAGATCTAATTTGATTGGAACACAATTTACAGTATATGATAATGGAACTTCTCCATATAAATCATCTATTGAAGGTGTTGGTGAAAGACAAGAGCTTGCTGCTATTGTCTATGTATGTATAGAGTTCTATTAAAAATCAATTTAAGGAAGTATACAAAGTCATCAAAATTTAATGAACCAGCAGATTTTTTAATAAACTACAAATAATATTGATATGTTTTTGTTTCTTTTATAAATATTTTTCTTAATTCATGAAGTATTTTTTATATTCGTTTTTTATAAGGTTTCCAACTATTTGTTAACTAGTGTATTTATTATATAATGATCAAATTAAGAAAATGGACTGTCAGTGATAACTTTAGGATCAATATTTAATAAGTTATTAACATTTTTATCTAGGCAAGAGTAGGAGTGAAGCAAAAAGATGTCTAGTGAGTAAAATAACAGTTCTTAAATTTTTAATAACTTCTGAAATACTAGTCCAATAGTTAGTATTGATGAATCATTTTCTTAATTAAATCATTAACTAATAAATTAAATATTTGATTATGTGTGTTGAAAAAATAAAGTTAATATTATGATGATGATAAAAAATATGTCATAATTGATAAATTAATAAAGACATGTATTTAAAAGAAACCCAAAAAAATTATTAATATTATTTCTAATACATAAAAAAATTTGCTTGTTCATTAAATTCTGATGACCTGTATAAGGAATGTATAATTTTTACTTTTGAATTATTTTTAACTTACTCTAAAATAAGTAAATTGATTTTTTTTTTTTTTTTTTTTTATCACTTCTTATTATATTTACTATTTTTATAAAATTAATGGCTTGTTATAATGTTAGAATTATAAGTAATTAACTGCAGTAACTTATACACTTTAATAAATACTATATCAATTAAAATGAATTTGAGCACACTGCAGTGCACCTGGTCAAATTTTAGTAAAACAAGTGTATCTTTACACAAAACAATTTACCTGGTTTTTTTCGAACTCATATATCTTGCTTTCTATTTAAGACTCTTGAAATTTTAAGTATAGATTAAGCTCCAGTAACATAAAACGCTGTAAAAAATGAGCATTTAATGTTAAATCTTTTCGAAATAGGAGTCTTTCAAAATTTTCACTTTTCTTACTCACTCACTGATTCATCATCAAAATAATAAAACATTTTCTATATAGGTAGACACATAATAGTTGACACAAAGATAGGTTTAAAGAAGTTAAGGGAAAAATCTAAAAATTGTGATTTTCTTAAATTTGAAGCTGCTTTAGAATGTTTCTACACCAAACAAAACAAATATTCGATCAATTAAAAATTTTAATTTTAAAATTATTTTTTAGTTATAATATATAAATTTATAATGTTTAATGTAATCATAAAAAATTAAAAAGGGCTAAGCTCTAGAATACCTTCTCTAAAAAAAAAGTATGCCTATCAAAGTAGTGATATCTACATTGTGGCAAAGTCTTTTCTTTCTTAATTTATAAACTATGTGAACATGTTCTTCCATAAACACTGCCCTTTTATCCCTTTACACTTTTAGCTAGTTAAGGAATAAAATAAACTTAGTCACAATGTCCAATGAATCCTTGGAAAAAGTAGTTTTTTCTGAGTTTTTTGTCTTTCTCATTATTCATGTAATACACATGGATGTTGAGAGTATTGTGGCAATTATTAATCACAAACTTGCCAAGTGATACAATTAAAAAGACAGTGTTGCTCATGGAAGTACATGTGAAGTGAGTTTATAATTAAAAAAAAAAAAAACTTGACCACAATGTTGATATCACTACTTTGATAGGAAAACTTTTACAGCACTTGTGTATTTATTGTAGTATTTTTTNATATCACTACTTTGATAGGAAAACTTTTACAGCACTTGTGTATTTATTGTAGTATTTTTTACTAATATTTATATTATTTATTATTTAATTAAGGAAACAAATGTACTTGGGTTTAAAGGACCACGAAAAATGACTGTAATAATTCCAGGCATGAATAAAAGTCATAAACGAGTAAAGATATCAACTTCAGATAACAGTAGTTCACTATTAGGTAGGGTTATTAATAAACTTATATATTACTATAATTATTAATTATATTTTTAACAAATTATTTATCAATTTATAAATTTGTATTAAATAAGTTTTATGTAAATAAAATATATTTCAGAATGCTATCGAACTAAAACTATGGATGATTTAATTGAGCTCCACAATAAAACTCCTCAATGGAATGAGGAAACACAATCATATGTTTTAAATTTTCACGGAAGAGTTACTCAAGCGTCAGTAAAAAATTTTCAAATTGTCCATGATAATGATGGTAATTCATAAACATTCAATGTTTTACTATGTATTAATTTTTATATAGAATTAACCTTAATTTTTTACAGTTGATTATATAGTTCTTCAATTTGGACGCATATCTGATGATCTTTTCACTATGGATTATAGATACCCACTGTGTGCAATGCAAGCTTTTGCTATTACTTTAAGTAGTTTTGATAGTAAATTAGCTTGTGAATAATTAAGATAAATCATATTTCTATTTAAATTAACAAGTGAAAGATATTGTATCAGTATTTTTATATGATATCTATGAAACTTGTATTTTATTATTATCACTTGATAAATTTAAATCTAATGTATAGTTAATTTTGCACCTTATATGTCTGTTTATTCTAGTCTTTTTTTACAATTTTTTCTTAAATTATATTTAAGAACAAAGTGATATATACTAATGATTAAGTAATTTTACTATGAATATTTCACTTTCATAATAGACTTTCAAGAATTGTACAATTTTTTCTTTGTCCTGCCTTTAATACTGTAATTGTGAAGTTCTCTAAACTTTTTTATGTATTTGTATTTTATATTTTTAATATTTTATTTAGTTTTAAATAATTAAAACCCGACATTTTTTTTGGAGTCTTATCTATCTGCCCCTAATAACATCTTATGACAAACTATATTTTACTCTACATATCATTTCATAAATAACCTATTTATAGTTTGTATGAAAGAAATTGATATAAAATATATTCTTTTGAGACATTTTAAATATGTGTCATATTGTCTTTAAATTTGTTAAGTGGAGAATTCAAATAATTGTTTTATCTAACTTGCTTTGTTATATTTTGACAATATTGTGTTATGTTACTATTTAATTTTGATTGTACAATTTTATTGACAATTTACAGGACCAATGCAAATTGATATGTAAATTCTTATGTTAAGTTATTTTTTCACTTAAATTAAGCACATTATTTTTTGTAAAATTGCACCAAATATATTATTTATCTCGCTATATGTGCCTCTCACTTCATGTGCCTTATATTTATTAGAAACAATTAATTTTATTAATTTTTTTATTGACTTGTAATATATTACAACAAATAAAAATATATATTCGGAAAATATAAATGTTATGTTGTAATAATTTAGGAATAATGTTGAACATTTAACTGCTGGAAACATCTGGTTGATTTCCATGAGTTATATCATCAATCTGGAATGCAAAAAACTTTTTGAATTTTTGTTATAACATTAATGATAGATCAACATTTTAAGTATATTATTTAAATTTTAGGAATATTTAACATTAAACAGACTGGTGTTCTGGATTAGTTAACTAATATATGTTGTCATTCATATCTGGTGAAATTTTACAGACTGAAATCAAATATTTTAATATTTTTAGTGATAGTCCATCATCACTAATTTGATGATAAATACTATTGGACATAAACTATTAAAAATCTATGGGTATTTTATAGTTAAATGTATACTTTTAAAGTGTTAAAAAAAAGTATCAAAGTCTTTTAAATTAAATAATTGTTTTGGATGTAATTTTAGATGTTTTTAAATGTTAATTTTGTGATTTCAGTTTACACCTCTAAGTTTGTATAACATAATATTTTTAAAAAACAAATTAAGAAGTTTATAAGTAGTTTCTACTAAATTGGAATGTCAGTAAATTAAATCAATGGGAAGGTTGACAGTCCGCGTGTATATATTACAGTATTGTCATTAAATATTAAAGTGACCTTACCTTTAAGGGTAAAATATGTTAATTTAGGTCACCTAAATATGAAACCACGTAGTGGTATTACTATCATAATAACTTCGTTATATCTCTATAATATAATATTAATTTTTTAAGTTATAATTTTCAATGATTAAAATATTAACATATAGAAAGTCATTTTGCTTTATCATATTTGATATTAAAGAAATATACATTTTTTTTCTCTTGTAAATGGAAATTTCTTGAAGTAAATCTCCGAAAAATATTTCCTTGATCACTAATTTAAAACGCTTGGTATTAAAAATGTTCGAATAAATTTACAAATCAATATTATTTTATTATTGTCTTACTCGGATTTATTTCATTAGAGTGTACATCATAATCATAATAAAGTTTATCCTAACTATGTTGTTAAAGGAAAACAAAAATTTTATATTTTGTCAAATGTGTTATGAAATTGCTTACCTCTTTTGTAAAAGTGTTCTTAATGACTTTCATCAATTCTGGAACAAATTTTTTTATATTTTGACTATTGTCGTTATAAGGTACTGGTGGATTTTCGAGTAAAACTTTCGTTACTTCTTCAAATAACGGCTGTAGTATGTTGGCAAAAATTTGTTGATCTGCAAAATTATTTCTTCTGTTGGTATTAAAACCGAAATCGTCAAAGATATTTCCAAACGAATTGTTTAATAATGCTTCAAACTGTGCTGCATCTGAATTGAACCCCATGTTATTTCTAGAATTTCCTATAAAATTTGGCATACCAAAACTTCTCATTGTGTCAGCTATATTATCAAATATTTGTGAATCATTGTCAAATTCTCTATGGGAAAAGTTTGACATATTCATTCCATCATAACTACTGTTGTAGTTTGGCCTTTGATGTTTTTCCTAAAAAAAATTATAAAATCGAATTTTTTTCTACAGGTTGTCAAAAAATAAGAAACTTATAATTTTCTTATCCTTTATGAATTATTTAAAATTGATATGTATTTAAACTCATGACAGAATATATATAACTGTATTTAATTTATACAATTGAATTTAATTTAGTTTAAATAAAAATTTCAAACTTAACTATATACTTATTTTAAGGTTTTTTTGATGAATTATTTAATTTAAAAAAAACTAGTTTTTATCGTTCTTTTCATTTTCATAAAAAATATTATATACAGTAGTATATACTTATATTTAATTAATATTTAAAGTTATATTATATAACATAAAACTTACGTGCAATATTTTTTTATTAAGTTCTAATGTCTTTTGAAAACCTCTAAGTACTGCTTGGCTAATATCTAATGTCAACCTCAATTTTTCTGTTATATTAGAGTTAGTAAAATTTGAGCTTATAAATTCATATATTGCTTTAACACCATTCAAATTTAATTTAACAGTGTCTGATATTTTGGACAGCGCTTGCTGCACTGTGATCTTATTTGATTGATTATTTTGAGGTTGTGACTGTACAATGTTGGATTCTGCAATAGGTGGTTTCTCTATTTGAGTTTCCAAACGGTTAATATGTTCATTATTATATTTCGGGTTTGTGTATTCATTATTATTGTTATTATGATTATTTGAACTCTGATCATTTAACTTGGATAATGATGATTTGTTATCTTGTAATTCAATTTGGTTTTTATTTGACTCGAATGAATTGGAAGGTTTTTCCAAAGGCATAGTTTCACGTTGCGAATTTTGTTGATTATTATTTTCTTCTCTGGGAGTGTCCATTAAAAATGGAAGTTGCGAAGACATGTCTCCAGAGCCCAAAATTTTTGTTAAAAGTGACATGATAGCTTCAGAGTTAGGACTATTTTTAATCAATTTCATCAATTTATTAATATCGTTTTTATTAGTAGCATTTTCATTTAAATCATTATGAATATTTTGCTCAAGTTGATTATTCTGTTGTTTTTCAGTTTTTTTTTGTACATTTTCATTGGATATCTGATCGTTTTCAATATTGCTCATTTGAATTGGTTCAATCTGAGATCCTTTTTTTTCATCATTTTTTAATTCAGATTGTTCTTTTATTGAATTTATAAGTTTTTTTGGTATATCGCGTTGAATTTCTTTCTCTTCTCGAGGTATGTTTATCATAAATGGAGGTCGTGTAGACATATTCTGAGATCCTAAAATGTTTGATAAAAATGACAAAATTTCTTTTTCAGTAGAAGTATTATTATTCATTGAATCCATTTTTTCGTTAAAATTTTGTTTATCCGCATCTTTGTTTGTATTATATTGATCATTTAGCTCTGACCGATAATAATTTTCTTGTTTGTCAGATTCCTCGTTTAATTTTTTGCCTGGTGTATGAACGTTTTGTTTGTAAGCATTCATTTGAATTGGTTCAGTTTCAGTTGTTTTAAATCCAGATATGTCTTGAGAGCCTAAAATGTTTGATAAAAGTGAAATAATTTCATTTTTATTAATGTTGTATTGAGATTCGTCAACAGAATTGTCTCTTTGGTTTTCATACTTTTCTAAGTTGACCTTTTCAGGCATATTATTTTTTTTATTCATACGGAGAGATAAAGGTTTTTTTTCATTTTTATAGATATTTTTTTGGTTGGAATCATTGGGTAACTCTGTGTTCATGAATGGCATTTGCATAATTAATTTCAATGGAGAAACTTGTTCCAAATTTGTAGAATTATTTTGGTTTTGTTGTGGATAAGATTCGGATTTTTGATGATTTACTGTTGATTGTTGTTGAGCTAACAAATGTGGTGGTAACATTGATTGATGGTTTGGATCGTTGCGTGGTTGATTATTTATTATATTAAACAGCTGTAATAAATCAACATCTTCAAGCTGCCGTTTTACTTCAGACAGTGTGGATTCTTGTTGATGTTGTGACGATGGTGGTTGAAATTGTTGATCCCTTTCGTCAAATTTTAATCTAACTGTATTTGTTTCATCAAATGGTTTTTGACTTAAAAAGTTTACAAATGGAATTTGTTGAAAGAAAGAATTGCTGTTAAATAGATCATTCTGCTGACGATTTTGAAGTCCATTATTTTGAGTTGAAAAAAATGGATTTAACCATTGGCTACTTGGTTGTCTTTGGTTACTGAAAAACCCAGTAAATGGTTGTCCATACTGATATAAGCTTGCCGCAAATATCTAAAATAAATTATATGTCAAGTAATTATTTTCTCTAAACAAGAAATTTTATTATTGTAAATTTCCTGTTATATTATTGTAACTTTATACTTCAGTAGCCATTAATATTCCTAATATTATTTTAAGTTGTACCCATCGTTATCCACGTGGAATTATTTGGACACAAAATTGGTGTCTAAACTTGATCTTACTGCAACATATATAAGGTGGACGATATACGCAATTGCCACCTCTACAAGACCATATTAAGGAATTGTGCTACCTTTTTATTTCGCTCATAAAAAAAGAATTTTCTCTATATTTTAATATTTTTATTGTGGCTATACCAGTTTGCAATAGAAAAAAATGAATACATTAATTACTTCATAATGAAATGTTTTTAATATTTTCAATAAATGAAAAATAATGTTTTTTTAAATTACTGATCTTATAAAAAATAGGTTTTTATAAAACTTTTAGAACTTGAAAACTGATAAAAAATTTAAATCGGCAATCTTAAACATATATTTTTATATACCAAATAAAACATTTTTAATTTTAAATAGAGAAGGAAATTTTTCAATAATCGTATTGTTTCGAATCGAGAGATAAAATTTAAGACAAGCTAATATTGAATTCAGAACACTGTGTGCTGCCCTTAAAAATCTAGAATATTAGCATCCACCATCACCCTATAATTTCGACCTTTCACTCCTAACACTATTCATATCTTCTGTGTTTAATAGATCACCAAGAGCGAAAATTCTGATCTCAGGGCTCGGGACATAAAACATTTATATAATTTTTTTAGACCAATTTCTCAACACCTAACTTCGTGAATATTTATCATAGGTATACAGTATAAAGTACTACAGCTACAGTTGTCGATCTACGGAGCTGTTCCCCGCACCATCATCAGTGGTGATCAAATGATGTTATTATTGGAGAGCATAAAAAACCTTTTTAATAAAAATCATCTTGGAAGCTGTACCCCCATACATTAGAGATTTTTTATTTCTATTACTATATCAAGATTTCAAAAAAAAANTTATCATAGGTATACAGTATAAAGTACTACAGCTACAGTTGTCGATCTACGGAGCTGTTCCCCGCACCATCATCAGTGGTGATCAAATGATGTTATTATTGGAGAGCATAAAAAACCTTTTTAATAAAAATCATCTTGGAAGCTGTACCCCCATACATTAGAGATTTTTTATTTCTATTACTATATCAAGATTTCAANATACATTAGAGATTTTTTATTTCTATTACTATATCAAGATTTCAAAAAAAAAACGAATATCTATTCATCATTGATGTAAACAGGGTAACTAAATAAAATTTATAAACTCTTGAAGTTCCGAGTCTTTTTTACATTTTATTTTTATGTAAGTATTTTTAATTAAACAAAAAATAATAACTATTAAAAAATATATATATAAATCAGTGCAGTTAAAATATTTTATTTAATTAAGTGTGTTATGCAATCTCTAAATAAGTAGTACATTATTGAGGAATTTGTTAATTTTTTGTTATTACTCTAATTAAATATTAATTTAACATAACTCGGTTTAATGATTTAATTTAAAAAAATAACATATATTTCAATGAGCTTATTAATTATACGATTTTACATTTTCTAAAAAAAACACGCTAAAGATTTCTATTTAAAATGATACCTAAACAATTTAAATTATTTTATATTAGGTTCAAGATTTTTTTTAATATCTAATTTTATTTCTGGATTAGCAGCATTTTTATGAACAAAATGTGTCTTTGGCTCTTGTTCCCATATTGATTGTATATTATATTGTTTAACTTAATATTATTTGAAGAACAAACATTTTTATAAAAGCGGCATATTTTAATGATTAACAAATATTTATTTATTGGAAGAATTATATTAATCGGTAGGCTAATTTTACTTACGCTCCTCCTTGTCAAAGGCAAAATTTCAACAAAATTTTCCCCTCCCCAAATTTTTTTTATATAATCATATGTATGTAATTTGTCTAAAATTTTGGAGGGACTGATTTTAAAATTGGAGGGGTAAAGTCCTACTAATTTACACCTATGCTTCTTGTTATATCTTAAAGTTTTTTTACTCATTTTTAACTTGATACAAATATATTTTATGATGCGCAATAAACTCATTTTTTTTCTAAAACTCTTTAAATTGTTTGCATAGTATCACATAGTAAATAAAAAAATTTTAAGTCGTGTAATTTGTCTGAAAGAGTTTTCAAAAAATAAATAATAATAATAATAATAATAATACAATAGAATGTTTTTATACTTCAATAAAAATATATAAAGAAATTTAATTATTATAATTAAGTCATAACAACACGAGAGCCAAATAGTACTTTCAGTTTTTTACACGGTTAATTTTAAAAATATTTAAAATTGTTAAAATTTATGTGTTTGTTATTAATTTCATTTAGTGGTTAACCACTATAAATATCTATACAAATAAACCTGTAACATCGTGACTACATTACATTATAATTACATTAAAAATATTTAAACCAAATATCAATTGATGTTTAATTTTAAACATGCACTCATTTAAAATTATATTATAAAAATGCCACGACTACAATAATTGCTAAACAAAAAAGATCGTATAAAATTTAAAAAGTAAAAAGTTCAAAAAGTTTGACATATTCTTTATCCTTTTTAAAAAAATTATTACAATGAATTTTTTCTAGATGTCTAATTTTGAATTACAAATAAAATTTTTGAACAAATATGAATTTATAAAAATCATGATCTATGAAATAATAAATTTTAATGTCATAAATTTTGATAAAATAATTATACATTTTTTTTTTATTTACATATCATTCTATATAAGTATTTAACTGGTATAACTTAAAATGATTGACAGTTGTCAATTTTTTTTTTAATTATTAATTATTGTTGACAAGTAATATTGTCAATGTTTTACGTGTCGTGATATTTTTAATGTATAAAAACAAGTATTGCTATAATATACAATAAGAATATTTCATATTTGTATATTAATATCATTGGATATTACAACGTTATAGAGTGCAAAATGAATTTACTAAAAATAGTAAGGTCTTTTATTATCAGTATTAGTGTATATAATATATCACAATAGTGATTAAATGACGCAATTTAATTTTTAATTTTTTTGTGAAATTAAATGGAATAGAAAAAATATATTCATTTTATATTTTATTTATATATTTATTGAATGTGTAATATTATAATAAAGTGAATTAAATCTTTGAAAAAATATTGAAAACTCATAATCAGTTAATTTTATTTAATTACCTCCGGTAGCAGGAATATAAAAATTCCGTACTTTAAAATCGCCATTTTTCTTGTTATTTGTTAGTTGAGTACTTACTACTTTTGGTTAACTTTGGTCGCTGATATTGTTGTAAATGTACGAATACTAATTTATAAAATAAGCATTGTTTACACATCTGTTGTTATTACGCCCTATAAATTTAACAATATTAACAAAAAATACACGTAAATTATTTTTAAAACTTCTATGTGTACTTAAAAAAAAATACTTATACATTAACCAACTTTTTTTCTATCAAGGGCCCGTGTAAAGGTGGAAAATTGAAACCTGTTCCCTTCTGATGAAGAATTATTTTGGGTCTTATATTTTAAAATAATAATAAAATAAACATATCAGTTTATTTTGTAAATAGAGAAAACTGCTACAAGTAATACAGCAGTAATGTATTTAGATTAATGTTGATAAAATGAAACCCACCCCAAAAATATCCGTTGTACTCTTCTGGGCAAAATTTATACAATTTTTTCAAAAAACTATAAAAAACCAGGCTATTTGTTGCAAATTTTCTTCGGATATAAAAAAAAGTTTTTATTATTATTTAGGGGTAACATGTAAAAGATTAGTTGACGCATGTTTTTTATTTAGAGATTTCAAATTGTTCAAAGTTAAATATTATTACCTATTTACTTTGAGTTAACATATTTTCGCATAAAATTTCTACAACGCATTACCATAATTGTTACTCATGATTTAATTGTATACTTATAGAATAAATAAATTTTAATAGTTTTGTTATTTTATTTTTATAAATAGTTTTATCATTTAATTGTTTAATGCTAGTTTGTGTTTTCTCAGTTCAATAAATACTTAATAAATTGGGTACTCTTGACAAAAATTAGATGAGATTTATCAATACGTATCAATGATAAAAATTTATTCTATGTAAATTAAGAAAATTATACTTCTAAATTTCATAAGGGGTGATATGATAGTAGACATAAATAAATAGTATTCTACACTTCATAATTTCTAAAAAATAATTTGGTCCTTTTTTACATAACATTTTATTCTTTTAGGTGTTTTAAATAATACGAGAACTAGAAATTAATAACGTACTATATGTTAAAACAATGATTTTGAGTAATTTATTATTTTTTGATATTAGAAAAAAACAAAATAAAATTGTAAAACCCTTAAATAGTTTATGCTTTTAACTACTTACGAATAAAACATTACATTTATTCCCTTAACTTTTCCCTTTTGTTTATCTATATAATTTTTAATATATTTTCCATTTATTAAAAACAAATTACATTTCTTATATTTCTCTTCTTCTACCCCTCCTAACACTTAGCCCGTTTTATATATTATTAATTTTGACAGTTAAAAAAATGTTCTGATACTAATTCAATTTTAGATACATAGCACATTATTAATTTTAAGTCTTCATTTATGTTTAACCCACTTACAAAATAGAAAATGATATATCATAGAAAAAAATGGTCAATAACAACTTTTTGGATTAGCATTTTTTTTTATAATTAAAAAAAAATGGAGGAGGAGTGTAGTATAGTTTATCATTATCTAGAGATAAATATAAGCAGACCCATCACCTCCAAACTTAATATTAAAGAATTAAAGACTTCCAAAATACTGGTACATATGTTGTTATAGGTCAGTCATTTTCTAGTTTATCAATTGATTAAATATACGTTTTCTTTAAAAAACTAAAGTAAATAAATTTTAAAGGAGGAAAGAGGTAATTTTTTTATTAACTATAGAACCCCACGTTTTATAATTAATAGAATACTATTCACTTTTAAAAAGAAAAAATAATTTTGTATTTTTAAATATATTGTGTGAGTCTTAATTAAACTATCACCCGGTAGACATATAAATAATAAATAATGTTAAATTAAATTAAAAAAAAAAACAATAATTTATTGATTGCTAATTACTATAATATTGAATAACACATTTTTATATCCTTAACTAATTAACACACTTTTTTAACTAGGAAATGAAAAAAGTTTTTGTTTACTATAAGAAATAATTTTAACCACCAGATTATATTAAAAAATTATGAATTTAATTGGTTTCGAGTATTATATAATATAAATATTATTATATAATGGATATGATATGATAATGAAAATTTTTTGATCAAGAATTTCCCAATGTTAAAGACACATTTTATGCATCTATTAGCTTAATCAACAAAACTAATTTTCTTAAATACTTTAGAAATGTTCTAAATTAGAAAATCAGTAGCCTATTCAGGGGGGTCTGACCCTCTATTCTCAGCAATATTCATTCCTAAAACAAAATGATAAGTAGTAAAAAAAGATTCAAAATATGAATATTTGTAGGTTATTTAATATGAACCACCCCGCCCATTATGAAATTTTGATTACATAACTGTAGCAAGTATAACAAACAAATTAATTAAATTCTACAGTTTTTAATTTATTTTTATATAGATTAGATTAAAATTTTTTTTTATCAAATTTAATAATTTTCAGTTATTTAAATGGCCTCAAATGTGTTTAATTAAATTATAAAAATAATAAATCATGGAGCTTCTGAGTAATATGTGTTATCTAAAATACTAAATGTTTAGTTTATCATCACTAAAAATACTGAATTTCTTGTAAGGAACTTCCAGGATTAAATCTTTAAATCTTCTCAACATTTTAAATTAAAAATTGATAAAATGTAAATTTGTCAAATCCTCAGAAATATTTCTAAATAACTACAACCATAGTAATTTGAGGAGTTTAACTAAAATTTAGTTAAAGTACAACATATATATATATATAGTTTATTTTTAGTGTGAAATTTTTAGTTAACACCAAAGTAATTGTTATATATTATCACAATGTTTCTAAAAACATTATTTTGATTGTTTTTTTTTTTGTACTAATACCAAAATAAATTAGTTAAATGAATATTTTAAGTATAAATATTTCATAAAATAACAGTCATAAATAACAAACAATTTTATTGCCTTTGACATACTACGCATTGAACAATGTCAGTTTGATGACGAACACAAACTGTATGAAAGGAATGTCCACACTTGAATAATATGAGACCATTATGTTTTCCACGTATTAAAGGATCAGAATTTAATGGCAATGAACACCATACACAAAAATCATTTTTCATATCTATTTTTACTCCCCAATGAGATTTTTTTGACAGTAATTCTTTATATTTTACACTTGATCCTATATCTTCTTCTAATGCATTAACAACATTTTCACAACTCTATTTATACAAAAAATATATAATTTTTAGATTAAAAATAAAAATAATAGAGCATACTAACCATTGCACCTATAGTTGAAATCATATTGTTACTTCTCATTGTTTCTACTATCTGGGATTTATAATGATCTTCCACCAAAGAACTTAAAACATAACTTTGGTAAAACCTATAAAATAAAATTCAAAACATTGACTTTTTACAAAACCTTATTGTATTTTTCTTACCAACTGTTTATATCACCATGTGGTACACAGTTTCGGTGCTTCAAAATTAATTCTTTAACTTCTTCGAGTTTTAAATGTTTTAAAGCTAATGTAGCAATATCAGTCCAAGATATCCCTTTATTTTTTTTTCCAACACAGCCACAACTTAGACAGAGGCCATTCTTAAAATAATAATTCATTGTAAATATTTTATTAAACATTTGTTCATTCTTAACTTGAAGATGAATTTCCAATTGATCAATGAGTCCTAGTTGTATAGATAAAATTATTTTGGAATACTTTGGAGTTTCTAATTTAAGATCAGATTCTAATAATACTGGCCACAAGTGAGGTACTTGTTTACAAAAGCATTTAATCACATCTTCTAGGCAATTCACTGATTTATAGTCAGTAACAACTAATTTAAATATTTTATTTAACTGATCAATATTAATATTATTCATTAAAAAATGTTCAATTATCATTTTTCCAAGTTTTTTAAATCGACCACTTTCATAAGATAATGGAAATCCGCACTTACATAGAGAATTTTTATCATGGCAACTAATTATAAAACAGTAAATAGCATAATACAAAATGTTATTATCATTTAATATATTACTATTCAAATCTGACAAATAATTTAAAAAAATACTATTGTACTTATTATGAGTGTCCAATTGTAGTTTTTCACTAGACTTTATTAATAAATAATATACAAATAATGGTTTAATATTTTTTTCATATCCAAAAGAACAGAAAGATTCTATTTGTTCCAGTTTTAAAAATACATACATGGAGTTTAAATACATTAAAATTGGAATTTCTGCTTTCCCAGAAATGCTAGGATCTAATTGTAAAATTTTATTAAATGTTGCATAAAAACATTTCATATTATTTTCTTGTAAAAATTTCAGCAAACTGTCAATATCTAATATTTTAGAAAATAACACTATAAATTCACTGAGTCCAACATCTATTTCAAAATCTTCTGGTGTCAAATAATATGTCAAAAATTTTGGATAGTTAAACAAAGTGACACTAAATAAATTGTTTGCATATTTTTCAGCCCATTTTATAATTAAGTCATTAACAAAACTATCTTTAACAACTTTTTTTATAATATTTAAATGTTTTTCTTTTAAATATTGTTCAAAAGGAAAATTAGGTTGTTTGACTTGTAATACGTTTTCTAAATTAGATTTTACCTCAAGAACACCAATGATTAAATTTTGTAAACATTCTTCATCAAATTTTTGACCACTTTGGATTTGTTTACAAAAATTTAATATAGGAGCTATATTGAGTTTATCTTTATTTTCAAAATCTAACTTGAATCTAGAAACATCAACCACATCTTCATTAATTGGAGAAGATTCAGTATATGTTGTAGTATCTGACACTTCATATGGTATTAATTCATTTTTATTATATAAATTTAGGTTGTTAAGAGTGTCTTTTAAATTTTTACTACTTTGAACTATTTTATTAGTTACATTTGAACCAAATTCTAAAAGTGTATCATGTAAAGCATCAGTGCCAGTCATGGATACAAACTGTATGCCAGACATACTAACATCCATATAGACTTGATTTAATCTATAATTATCATCTGGACAGGAATAGGTATTCTGTTGACTTTTTATTAACTGTTTATTACTATTATTTTGATGTCTTTTAACTTTATCTAAACTGATTGATAAGTTAGGCAATGATTTATAGCGTGGAATAAGTTTAGAACCATATTCTCTTGGTATAGATATCAAACTTTTACTTTTTGAAGTAGTGACAATTTTTTTAACGTATGTATTTTTTTTTAGTGTATAAATCCCAGAAGGCAATTTATAAAATTTCTGTTTTAAATAGTTAATACGTTTTATTTTAAATATTAATTTTTTTGTATTATTTGGCAATTCTAATTTTTCATCAATTTCAACTAGAGGATATAAAAGGTCTACCATATTATTCATTTTTATAATTGTTGGATAGTAATATTCTATTAAAGTTATGCATGTATTATAATATTCTTGTTCATAACAGTTAATCAAATACTCATTTAGTGGAATTATTTTTTCTACAAGTAAGTAACCATCGCCTGACCAAACATATAAATAATTATCTATACATTTGACATTTTGTACATTATTGTAACTATTATTCCACAAAACTATGTTGATATTTGAAATATTTATAATGAAAATACTATTTGATGTAAATGTAAGTAAACAATCATCCCAAATATCATAAAGTTTTTTAAAATTCAATGACTGAGGTGGCCAATTTTTGTTTGATATATTTGTAAATTCAATTGATGTATGATCAATTATGTTAAGAGTTGGTGGTAAAGCTAAACTATGTTTCAATTGATGTGTACTTTTTACTGAGCCATTTATTTCTACTTCCCAGATTCGTGAGCCTGGTCTAGCTGAAAAAATTTTCTTTTCGTTACGTCCAACAATACAACAACCATAATCACCATCTCTAGGTTTCTGTCCAATTTGTCTATATTGTTCTTTGGTAATATCACAAAGATAGCATCGAGTTAATGTTGAAACTACTAGCAAATCATCTGAACTATTTATTTGAACAATTCTTGAATCTAATTCTATTTTAGTATATGGTGGAGTTTGAAAAATTACTTTTTTCTGTAAATATATAATAAATTATATTGTTATGTAATTTGTTTAGTTTAAAATTGAGAATTACATGTATTCATTTTTTGGCTTCAATGCAAATCTTAGAAGTTATTAATTTTACTATGGTGTGTTTTTTTTTTATGTCTGCAACCACTTTTTTTTAGCTCTCACCACACCGATTTTTTTCAACAATATGTCAAAAGATTACAAATTGTATCTAACTGAAGAGACATGGTCCTTAAAAATTAAAACAATTGTACTCGTTCCCTGTAAATGAGGGAAATCTCCAAAAAAAATAACATCATTTAAATCATGATTGAACACAATCATTACACTTTAACATTTTTTTTCTTAAATCTTCCATATCTTTTTTAAAAATGAATATACCAAAATCATTTTTTTATGTAATTTCCTTTCATTTGATATACATTTTTAGAGATTCAAAATAGCAACTTTTTCACAAAAGTCAATTTTTTTTAACTTAACTTATAAAAATGTTTAGGAACTACAGCGTCCTTTAAACATATGTTAATATAAAGTTTATATTACATAATATAAATTTTAAAAAAATCATCCCCACAACATATTTTCTATGTGCACATGGTAGCTGTAGTTAAAAAACATTTTCATACAAATTTTTTTATAATGTTAGTGTATTTTAAAATAAGGATTTGCCATATTAAAGAGGCCACCGATTTTTATAAAAATTATATGAATCTTACATACATTTAATATAAATTTAAACTCATTATTAATATTTTGCTTTCTCTAAGTAACAAAAAACAACTTTGAATTTTTTAACTAGTTTAAATTGTTCATTTTAATTACTTATGATTGTAATGTATGGTTGCCTCACTGGTAACAATACAGTGTAATACGCTTGGGGTACAAAGTCCAAGCCCCACCCCTCAAAATGACTTTTTTCTTAATTCTATTAAATAAGAGTTCATTTTTCTTTTAGAATAATACACCAATTTCTTAAAATTAAACACTGTCAACAGAATTGCATTGAAGCATTTTTATGATGGTTAATTTTAATCACTGTCAGATATTTTATTAATAAAACACATCAAAATTGAATTTTTTTTTTTTTTGTACTATTCTGTACAACTAATATCTTCAACACTTACAACAAATAATGAAACACAAATAGATGTAACTTTTCCACTATTATCACCAAAATATAATTGATTTTTTGATGTCCATTCCATAGCAGTGATTTCACATCCCAAATGCTCAGTAGATTTATTTAATAATTTAGCACCTAAGCCTTTGTCATTTTTTTGTAATATACAAACAACACCTTTTTGAGTTCCAAATCCAATAAGTTCTTCATCTTTTGATATTGCTACTTGTGTAACTAAACCTTCCTATAAAAATAATTGAATATTATACATATATTTGAATATTTAGTACAGTATTCATTATACTTTATTTGGTAATAATTGAACAAATTCACATGGTTGTCTATTAAATACATATAAACCACCACTTGAAGCACCAAATACAATTAAATTTGTAGAGACTTCACAACATGTATACTAAAAATAAAATTGTGTAAGTTTCTATATTTCCAAAATGTTTTTGTTAAATATTACCTTTATTCTTTGTGTAGTTTTTAATGGTAACTTAAATGTATGACTATTGTCAATTCTATTTAAAATCAGTAAGTTGTTGTCTAATGAAGAGCCACTATTCATTGTAATAAACTTATGATAATATGAAACCTAATAACTAATTCACAATTCAAATTGTATTAACATAAATTGATCTCTAAAAGCTATGAGACTGGAGTGAAGTAAATAAATCTTAAAATGAATTAAAGGCAAAAACGTTAAGATAATTAAAATCAACTGTACAACACTTAGTCTATTATTAAATTATTTATTTTTTTATCTCTTATACATAGATAATATGTTATCATTGATATAAACTTCTATCACACCTTAAATATTGAAATCACCGTTGATTTGCAATTTTTTGTTTTATAAATACGAATGATCAATGTTATTGACCATCTTAAAGAAATTGCTCTTTGAAACCTCCAAATAACATTGTATTTATATAGTTATTGTTAAATGAGAAATTAAAAATCTGGCGTTTAAAAATTAATTTAATTATTTTTTGCTCCATAAATATTCATCATTTTGTACTAGTTAGATTTACATGACCACGTAACTACAACACCAAATTCAGCCGTTACCTTCAAATAGAAATAGGATTATGGAAAGCTAGGAAAAACTCAGTGGAGTCTATTTAAATCACTAAATTAATTATTTATCTTAATTCTAGAAGAGGTTATTAAGTTTCTAGAAATAATATAAATGCAATATCTTTGAAAAAATTGATATTTCTTGTTGCGATTCTTTTTCAATACCATTTTTTTTTGTAAATACATACTAAAATTACAGTAATCTCTACTAAGAGAAAGTGTTAATATAGTACTCAAGTTATTACAGATCACAGATTTTTTTTTTATCACATAACTACATAGGACACACAATGGAAAATTTTCATTGAAATACTTAGCAATATAAATACTAAGTATTCAGACCATACCAATAAAATATTAATTTAAAGAAATACAATTGGTTTACAATACATGTAAACAAATATGTTAATAAAAGTATTAGTATTTGAGAAAATCTTAACAAATTAAAAACACAACATATTTACATAACAACTAACAATTACCACTTATTCTTGCTCCATTATATAGTTTAATGAAACAACAAATTAATTCAATAATGATTCAAAATGTCATTGAAAAACTACCTAGAATAAAGTTAAAAAAATAAAATTATTTACAGTACATTATTTACAAACGTATAAAAGTTTGACAAATAATTGTAAAAGTAAAAAATAAAAATAAAAACAATGCATATTTTATTTATGTTTTTAACTTTTAGATTTATAATATATATATATATATTTTATTATTAAAAGAGCACAAATTAGAAAATGATGTTGGTATACATAAATGAAGACAATTGAAAGTTTACTTATTACTATTTCTACCTAATGAACAGACACATATCAATAGACCACATTGAAATAATTATTACTCCTATAAATAATAAACAAAAACATTTTATTTTCATAATATAATGGAAGAAATACAATACTTTAAGATGGTTCCAATATATCTTCCATGTAATATAGAGACATTAACCGTACAATATATATATATATATATATCTTCAAACACTCAAGTGGTAAACTGAATATGAACACTCTTTGTTAAGAATAATTTTTTTAAATTGTGGTGGAAAACCTCACGAGATTTTAAAATTAACATGTATTAAACATTGTATTGTAGAGGCGTGTTATATTAAGTAGAAACCAATGATATAGTGTTAAAAATGTAAGATCAATGACATTTTTTTCATATACTTTTAGAAGTAAAATATGTATTCATGATAACACCACAAACATTGTCATAGGAAGAAAGTTTAACATTTTGATTTAAGATCAAAAAATTCAACAATTAAGAAGAATATTACCAAGATAAAAAAATGATATACAAAAAGAATATAAGCATGTATTTACATCATTATAAGACCTCAATATTTGACCTGTTCATTTAGGCTTTTTGTTTTGTTATAAGTTATAACAAACTGTTGTATAATAATTATATATATATATATAACATATAATATTATGTTTTTCGGTATTAAATATTTTAATATACAGAATTGCGGTGAAAAATGAATAATAACAACACAGTTTTAATGTGTCCGCCATAATTATTCGTCAAACGTGATACTTGCGTCCAATTTTCAATAAGGCGCGTGTCGTGGATAGGTAGTTTCACGATATTTTCCACCTCCATACGCTTGTGCTGAATAACCACCTCCATAACCAATAGCTGAATAATCATATCCACCGTATGCACCATAAGCATCATATGCATTAGCTGGGTAACCATATTCAGCTGGTGCACCATAAGGAGCAGCAGCAGCTGGAGCCATGTAACCAGGGTATGTTGGTGGCCTCATACCAAAAGAAGCTGCAGCTCTAGCACCTGGAGGACCTCTTGTACCAGGAGCAGTCATTGTTTCAGGATTGAATTTGACTTTTTTAACATCAACTTCTTTACCATTAATTACTTGTTTGGGGTTTTTTAATACCTGATTAACTACTTCAGAATCTTCAAATGTGATGAAACAAAACCCCTTTTTCTGGTTTTTCATTTTATCAAATGGTTGTTGATATTCGGCTATTTGACCAAATTGAACAAAATAATTTCGTACATCTTGTTCTGTCATTTCAGATGTGAGTCCACCCACAAATATTTTACAACGCAACGGATTAACTTTTTTAGTTACCTATTCAACAACAATATAACCAATATAATTTAACATAAAAGTAAACATACAATAACATTAGTGTAAAACAATTAATAGACAATTATAGGAAAAAGAAGAAAAAGCTGTTTATAGTATTTATTGTATCGAAGAAAGTATATTTAAGAGTATCGAGAGAGGTTTATAAGTGGGTATTAATGAGAAAGAGTACCAAAAATGTACATTAATATAATAGAGGCTTTGTATAATGGCACTTGTACTAGGGTAAAAAATGTGGCGGAGTAACAGAAGATTCTAAGATAGAAGTAGGAGTGCACCAAGATTCTGCTTTAAGCACATACTTATTTTCTATAGTAATGAATGAAATTATTAGAGAAATATAATACATGCTATGGTGCATATAGTTCGCTGACAACATGGTGTTAATAAGAGAGAATTAATCAAAGACTAGTGGTGAGGAGATCAGCTCTTGAAGGAAATGGATTAAGAATTAGTAGGAGTAAGACAAAGTATATAAAGTACGAGTTTAACAAAGGCAAATACAAGGTTTGTGAATTAAGCAAATTAATTACAATAAGTGACGATGTGAGAAGTTTTAAATGACTAGAGAAGATAGAATAAGGAACGAACATATAAGATGGAGCATAGGTGTACATCAATCGTGGAAAAGATGAGAGAAATCGTAAGCGATAAGAATAGTTATGAAAATGAGTGATAAAGGAAGAAGAGATAGAGGAAGACCAAAAAAGAGATGAAGGGATGTTATTTTATGATATATGAGGATAGCTGATGTGGGCGTACATGATGAAAATATCAAGTGGAAGTTTAAGATGATGAAGTAGTTAGGATAAAGGCAAAGAGAAATAAAAAAGAAACAATTCATTTTAAATTTAAAAAATAACATATTAAATAACTGTATATCAGAGATAGACTATCATAAGTTTACTATTGCCATACAGTTATTAATTAAAAATAAATATTATTAATTGACATATACATTTATATATCCAGAAAATCAAATAGGTATTCAAATAATTAAGATGTTGGTTACTATTATATAGTAAAATTTTGGAAAAATTAAATTTGAAAAATATATGCTATAAATGTAATAAAAAAACAATTATTAAATAACAATTTCAAACAAATGTTCATACAATTATTTTGAAAAATCATTATAAATGTAATAATAAAATTTATTAAGAAAAAAATAACATTCATCCATTAATGTACTCAGATGATAGAAAAATTCTTACATTGTACATTATTAACATTATATAATTAATTAATTCATATCAATTATATAAATAATGTATAACACATTTGTTTAGAATATTGAAATATTATTAGATAATTAATTAGTAAATTAATCTAAAATGTTTTATATACATGTTTTAAATCTACTAAGAAATTGTACAGAATGATTTATCATTTACCATTCGATTTTTTCCAAAATAATTGTATTTTTTTAATTCCTCTAAGAAGAGATAAAGATTTATATAAAAAATATTAAAATGCCTATAAATCAAAGCATAAATAATACTAAATAAAATTAATTGTTTAGAATCATTATTATTTAACAAGAAATTTAATAATCAAACCGTTAATCAATAATCCTATTGATATTTATCAATTTTTGTTCTCAGTAAAATAGTTAACATATTATATTATTAAAATTGATTAAAAATATTACATATTTAAAAAAAAAAAAAATTTTGACAAATTTTTTAAACTATAAATATAAAATATAAAAGTAAACGTTAAATAATAATACGAATAATTATTTTCAAGTTACTGAAGTATTAAACAAAATTCAATTTTTTGTTAACTCCCCTACAAAAAGTAACTCTTATCAACAAGAATACTAACAAAATATAAAAATATGAGTAAATTTTAAGATTCTAGCGATAAATATTATAACTAAATTAATGAAACATTCTTTAGTTTAAATAATCTATGAGTTTTTAAGTTGTCACAATTTTTACCAATAAGAAATATCTCAANGTTTTTAAGTTGTCACAATTTTTACCAATAAGAAATATCTCAAAAATGTTTAACTATAACTCACCCTTTTAGGATCAACTTTTTTGTTGGCAATAAAGTGATCGCCAGCTGCCAGTAAATCATCAACTGTTTTAGCATTTACAAATTGCACAAACGCAAACCCTCTCGATTGTCCAGAAAATGGATCAGTTTTAATATTTATGTTTTCAATTTCACCATACTGACTAAAATATTCACGAATCTCTTTTTCACTTATCGTTCGGCCTAAACCGCCAACAAAAAGTTTCTTATCGTCATCACGGCCAGGGCCTGTGGCTCGACCATTGGCATTCAATTGTTGAGTCATATCCTAAAAGAATAATGAAGATAAATATAAAATACTAGCAATCAAAACAACATTCGTAAAAACCATGCTCTACTATAACAAAAATTAGGAGAAACACGTCGCACGAGGACCATAATAATCTAGACCGGCAATCAGGTACTCACCATTGAAATTGAGTCGATAGCCTGGTTGGTGTAAGAGTAATAATCAAAATTGAACTTAGTAAGTTATGATCTGGGTCTATTTTGCAAACTTAATGAAGCAACAAAAGTTTAAAAACGACGATTATTATTACTTGGTATTTATACACAAACACACACATAAACCAACGGCGACGCTAAAGATGCGTACGCTATTTTATCTCTCTCTCTAACCGGGTTTATTGCTTGCAACAACGAGTAAATAGAATGTGGAGGAAAAAACAAAATGGAGGGAATATAACTAGTGTTGCCAAAATTACAAAAAATTAGCGCCAAACTTTTTTTAAACTAGTTTTATCATAGTCTATTATATTTAAAGTACATGTTTAATAACTAAATAAATGTATTTTAGAATTATAAAATGTAGCATTTTAATTAAAGGAAAGTTATTTATATTAACGAAATAACTTATTTTTCCTGTTTTGTTTAGTCAATATATCCTTCATGGTTTTGGAAAAAATAGGAGGTAAATTATAATAGGGGTTATAATTTTAGTGTAATATACATATTTTTATTAACCTTGGTGTCCGTTTTCACCGTGAAAACAAAATGAAGTCTTTTGAACATTTCTTTTTTCCATAATAAAGTATATTACATTAGCTTTAATTTAAGGTGTATATAAAAGTGTCAGTATTTCCTAAAATCTTTCAAAAATTAAGTTCTACTTTCTATATGCATTTTTTAATTTTGAGACCCCCCTGTATTAAAGGAAATGGTCCCATTTAAAAAAAAAGTATGTCGAATGAAAAAAGTATATAAATATTATTTCTCATAAAAAAATTGTATTGATCCATACATTTTATAAAAAGTTATAGCATTATAAAGTTAAAAATTTTAAATATAAAATCGAGAATTTTAACACAAAAATAGCATACAGTAGCCATTTTCACCGTGAAGACAAAATAAAATCCGAAAAAAAATTTTTCCATAATAAAGTATATTACATTAGCTTTAATTTAAGGTATATATAAAAGTGTCATTATTTTCGGAACATTTTCAAAAGTTAAGTTGAAAAAGTTAATTTTTTATGAAAAAATTGTCATTTTGAATCTCCCCTATGAAATATACCAAATGATAGGTAAAGACATCATGCATCTAAAAAAAAAATTATATTGATTTCATCATTTTTAAAAAAATTATGGCAATTTTATGTAAAAAAAATTGAATAAATTTCGAAAATTAACGATTTTTAAAATTATAATTTTTTTGGAGATTTCCCCCATTTACGGGAAACGGGAAAAATGTTTGAGAGTAATATCTTCGACTAGATACAATTTGTCATCTTTTGACATATCGTTGAAAGAAATCGGTTCGGTGGATATAAGAAAAAATGGTAACAAACATAAATAAAAACACATCATAGTAAAATTAATATCTTTTCAGCTTCGCATCGAAGCTAAAAGGTAATTATTTATTAAAAAATAAAATAAAAGAATTTGGCATAAACGTTTTTGCATTGAGACAATATCTAGTACCAACATAGGTTATAATTATTTTTTATCTTGTCATTATATACATTTTTCATTTTTTTGTTGTAATTATTGACCTGAAATATAAAATAGAACATTTTATCAGGACCGTATCCAGATATTTTTTTGGGAGGGATCAAAAATATAGACATATTTTGGACCCCTCCCGAAACACGTTTACTTATATAAAGGTAAAGGGTTGGGTTCGGTTTAATTAGGTTTATAAATACATATTTTGAAAAAAAAAACCAAGGAATCTAAGGAATCTAATCGAACCTTTTAGCTTCGATGCGAAGCTGAGAAGGTATTGGTTTTACTAAGATGTGTTTTTTTTTTTGTGTCTGTTATCACTTTTTCTCAGCTCTCACTGAACCGATTTCTTTCAATGATACGTCAAAAGATCAGAAATCGTATCTAGTCGAAGACATTACCCTCAAAAATTGAAAAAAATTCCCTCGTTCCCCGTAAATGGGGGAAACCTCCAAAAAAATTACAAATTTAAAAATCGCTAATTTTCGAAATTTTTTCAATTTTTTTTACTTAAAAGTGCCATAACTTTTTCAAAAATGAACATATCAATATAATTCTTTTTTATATAGATGCATAATATCATTACCTTTCATTTGGTATATTTTTTTCATAAATTTAACCCTTAACCTGCCCACAAGGGGGGATTTAAAATGACAACTTTTTCACAAAAAATTAATTTTTTTAACTTAAATTTTGAAAATGTTCCGGAAGGTCTGACACTTTTATATATATCTTAAATTAAAGCTAATGTAATATGCTTTATCATGAAAAAAAAAAATTTCGGACTTTATCTTATCTTCATGGTGAAAATGGCTACCGAATGCTATTTTTGTGTGAAAATTTTCGATTTTGTATTTTCCATTTTTAACTTTATTATGCTATAACTTTTTGAAAAATGTATGAATCATTACAATTTTTTTATGAGAAGTAGTATTTATATAGATCTTTCATTCGACATACTGTTTTTTTAAATCGGACCATTTCCCTAAATACAGGGGGGATTCAAAACATAAAAATGCATATAGAAAGTAGAACTTTTTCAACGTAACTTTTGAAAGTGTTCCGGAAGGTCTGACACTTTTATATATATCTTAAATTAAAGCTAATGTAATATACTTTATAATGGTAAAAAAAAATTTCGGACTTTATTTTATCTTCATGGTGAAAACAGACATCAAAGTTTATAAAAAAAATACGATTTTTGTAAAAAAATTCTTTTTTATATTTTTAACTTTATAATGCTATAACTTTTTGAAAGATGTATGGATCAATAAAATTCTTTTTTTTATGGATGCATGATGTCTTTAACTATCATTTGGTATAATTTTTTTATAAATCTGACTTTTTACCTGCCCAAAGGGGGGATTCAAAATGACAACTTTTTCAGAAAAAATTTACTTTTTCAACTTAAATTTTGAAAGTGTTCCGGAAAGTCTGACACTTTTATATATATCATAAATTAAAGCTAATGTAATGCACTTTATTATGGAAAAAAAAATTTCGTACTTTATTTTGTCTTCAGGGTGAAATTGCCTACCAAATGCTATTTTTGTGTGAAAATTTTCGATTTTATTTTTTTATTTTTAACTTTATAATGCTATAACTTATTGAAAAGTGTATGGATTAACATAACTTTTTATGAGAAATAATAATTTTTAATAATCCCTTTTTCATTCGATATACTTTATCTGAATCAGGATATTAATAACGAACTAGCAGATCATGTTACTTTTGGAATAATCCACCTATTTTTTTAAATTAAACACTATCTAAAGATTTACATCGAAGCGTTTTTTATGATAGTGATTTTAATCACTGTCAGATATCATTATACTTGATCCAAATATGTCACGTCACCACTGTGCCGCGACCCCCTTGTGCTGGGTTTTTTTAAATTAGGTTTGTAATTTATAATTAACAACCAAAGTTTATTTATTTAGAAATATAATGAAAATAATGAAATATCAATAAAATTAAGATTTAGTTCCTTCAGATAAAGGTTGTTATGAATAAAACATTTTGATTAAAGACATATAACTGTTGTTTTATATTTATTATAACTTGCAAAATTGCAAGTTAAAATTTTTTACCTAATTTATAAAATTTGAATTTAACATGAACCCAATTTTTAATTATTCAAATGTTGTTAAGGCTTATTTATAGTAAAAATTAGTATGTTATAAATTAATTCAACTCATTTAATAATGATAGATATTTATTTTTTTAAGGTATCAAAAAATTTTTTTTTACTTTCTGGAAAAAAATTTTAATTTGAATTTTAGAACATTTGAAATTAGGAATTCAATCATCATCATCACCTTAGGCTCTATATCTACTATTGAGGGTCAGCTCTACGTTAACTCTTAAATGGAATTGTATATCTATCGATCTGACACAACTTCAGGGAACCAGTATAGGAGTAAATGTTGTCGCTGTTAAATTTCCCGTATGGTCACTCATCCGGAAACTAAAAACAAACAACGTAGCTGAACTTTAGCGTTAAGGTGGCGACTGAACGATCCACTACTTCTTACCACGAAATTAGGGATTTAATTATTCATATAATTTTTTTGTATATTTACATTTAAATATAAGTATTTAAATCTTAAGTAGGCACTCATTAAAACTAAATCTTGGAATTACAAAAATTGTTATAATTGTTAATTACGGTTCGGCAATTATCAGTTCAAGTTAGCAAAACTTAAATTACTTTTTAATTTTGATGTTGCCACTTGGTTATTTAAAAATAATTCATGAAGCTGTTATGATAATAAATTAAAAATTGTTTAGTTCTAAATATGGCTATGCTTTTCTTTTATTAGAGCAAGATTTAAGAATAACCTAAGTTTTATTGTGTAGGTATATCGTAACCAATTGCAGCTGGTGTTTACTTATACGCTATGTTGCGCATCGCGACTTGATATCTAAAGAACTAATTTGTGTTCAGACAATAGGTGTTCAATTATTATTTGTTACAGTAGTACCAATAAAAATTATATTCACTAGAAAACTCAGGTAATTAAACAACGGAAATAAATTAATAATGAATTGAAATATTTTTATTTGAATAACGATAAATTATTTATAATAATACATCTTTCAATATAATTGACTAAAATTTCACTCATAATTTTTACAACATAGATTTAAGATAATTACATTATTTTAGATAATTTCAATTATTAATTACACATATTACTACTTGACATAAAATATTATATATTTTATGGTATATATACCAAAGATTCAAACATTTAATAGACCAAAATTTGCAAATGAAATATTAATAAATCAATCGTGTTATTTAGTTATAATCTTTAATTTACAGAACACTTGTATTTAATGTAAAACATTTAGTGTAATGTTGTAAAGTACATAATTTTCTTTCGCCTTACTAAAAAAGATCTAATTCATGGTTTTACTTTGATTTCACAACATTTGAATATTGTACAATTTTGTATGAGTTTTTTATGACTTAATAAAAGGTATAATTAGAACTATTAATCAATGATATCATTATCTAGATCATAAAGATCACCGTCTATTATACAATTCATGCTCATAGTACAAGTTAAATTTTAATAGTAGTAAAAGCTATAGTATTTTATTAATTTATGAAAATGTTCGTAAGGTAACACATTTAGTCATAACAAATTACAATTATGTCTATCAATAATAGGGACCATCGTAATTTTATTGAATTTAAGTGGTAATAAAAAATAGATGTAATGAACTGTACCCGTTAAGTAGCATATTACCAATAAAACATAAAATATTATTATATAATCTCTGTCACTGATGATAGTATAATATTTTCCTATTTTTAATAATATAATGTGTTAAATTACTTTTTAAACAAAAAAATAATTTTTTTTTAAAAGATCCTATTACTGTAGAATCGCTGCAAAATAGTATCACGTTACTTTACCTAAGGTTTACTCATACTTGGTCTAAATTTATGAATTACTCATTTTGTCGGAACAGCGTAATAATTGTTAACATTTTTTGCTGACCTTGTGATAATAAACATATGAAAAATTGAACGGAAATAAACACGGATTGTATAGATAAGAAAACTCAATTCACGTATATGATGTCATTCTCCAAATAATATATGAGTAAATTAAACTTTTTTAAGGTTGATTATATTATTTGTTTTCTATTGTTTAAGTGTATTATAATGTTTTAACAATGTAAAATGTTAAAGTTAGAATAAAATTATTTCTGCATATATAAAGTATTTCTTTTAAGATGTCTAATTCGAATGAGACTTCAGTACCAGCAACTACTAGTAATAGCAGTGTTATTGAAACTGCTACAAGTAAAAAGTTATTAATTTGTCACTAAGTGTTAGTTATAAAATGTTTGAATTGTTATCAGATTCTAGAGTAGCCACAACTGCTCCTAGTCGTCGAATGAGCCTAGCAGCTGATCTTATGATGCATCTAGAGCGAAGAGCTGCTGAAAGTTCTGCAATGTTTCGAAGCAATGTCCATAACGTAGTGGAAGAATTAAGACCTATTATATCAGTAACCCGGCATCCTGATCCTGGGTCACCACAACCTCTTGGTCCTAGTTCATCAGTACGTCTAAGTTTACCTACTTGGTTAAATTTAAATGCAAGTAATACACATTCTCCTCTATCACCACCAAGTTCATCAGATACTGAAGACAGAGATCCCATAGCTCCAGGTAATTTAAATAAATTGTTCTAAATTTGCTTTTTTTAAATTTTATTAATATAATAGGGGATGTAAGAGTATCTGAAACTTCACCAGTTTCACAAAGAGTCCCTATATCTGAAGCAAGATCTCTTCCAATAGAATCTAATAATGATGTTTCGATAAATATGAATTTATCTAACTTAGAAGAAAACCATGGAAATGAAACTCAGACTCCTGGAGGGACTTCACCTAATGGATCTAGTAATAACAATGTTGAAAACCGTGAGTAACATTCAATGTATATCTTCAACTTCAATAAATATAATTTTGATATTCATTAATTTTAAATTTCTATATTTATCACATTAATTCTGATTTTTTAGTATAAAATTATAGAAAAAATGTTATCAATTTAATTTTAGAAAGTGAAGAAGATGTTCTTCGTCATAATCCCGAAATAGCTCAAGTTTTAGGAGTAACTCTTAAGTACATTCCATTCATATTAATATTGTTATCAAAAGCTGTTTTTGATCATATTCCAGGTAATGTAATATAAGATTATGATCATTCTCATTGATTCTCTTCTTCTTCCTCGCCTTAATCCCAACTACTTAGGATCGGCCACTCTTATCCTAAACTTCCACTTGACACGATCTCCCCTATCATCTACGCTCACATCAGCTGTCCTCATATCACATTCAATAGCATCCCTATATCTCTTTTTTGGTCTTCCTCTACCTCTTTTTCCTTCAACATTCATTTCTATAACTGTCCTTACAGCTTCCAATTCTTCTCTTCTCATAACATGACCAAACCATCTAAGTCTATTTTCCCTCATCATATCCATGATTGATGCTACACCTATACTCCCTCTTATATGTTCGTTCCTTATCCTATTTTCTCTAGTCACTTCACTCATCCATCTAAGCATTCTCATCTCTGCTACACTCACTACAGTCTTGTAGAATTTATCTTTCACCTCACTGGAATTCTTTTATCGCATAAGACGCCAGACGCTTCTCTCCACTTCAACTACTCGCACTTAATCCTGTGTCTTACATCCTTGTCAATACCACTGATCTTTGCACAACTGACCCTAAATACTTAAAAGTTTCTCCTAAATACTAAAAACCTCTCCAATTACATCCTCGCCTATTGTCACTGATCTTCTCATTTCACCTACCTCGTGTTCTCCTTTGTCAAACTCGTATTCTATATATTCTGTCTTACTTCTACTTATTCTTAAACTCTTTTCTTCAAGAGCTGATCTCTACACCTCTAACATTTGATTAATTTCCTCGCTATTTTCTCCTATTAATACTATTTCATCAGCAAACAACATGCACCACACCATCTCTTCTTGTATTTCTCTAGTAATTTCATACATCACTATAGAGAATAAGTAAGAACTTAAAACAGAATCTTGGTGCACTCTTACTCTTACCCGAAAACTTTCTGTTACTCCTACGCTTTTTACCCTGGTACAAGTGCCATCTTACATATCTTCTATTATATGAATGTACCTTTTCGGGACTTTTCTCATTAATGCCCACTTTATCAATTCTCATTGATTCTACAAAAAATTATATTTTTATCATTTTAGCTATTTTGTTATTCTTGGTGCTATTTGTTTCATTCCGGTACTTTAATAATGTTGTAAAACGGGAAGTAGCCAAACAATCTCAACGAAGTATTGGATTTCTTTTGTTTGCTATATGTCATATGGTTATGTCAGTTTTTTTATTCTATTATTTCTACAGTGACATGAATTTACATTTTGGGTAAGAACTATTAATTTAATATAATTTTAAATGTTTAGTATTTGGTTTTTAGTAATAAGAGAAAAATTATAGTTATTCTTAACTAATACTTCAGAAATAAATTTCAAAAACATTTTAAAGTGAACTTTTAACAATATTTTATATTAATTATTTATTTTTTATTAAAAATTATTTTGTAATGTTAAAAATTAATTTCTTATAAAGCATTCCAGTTTTCTTAAAATCTTAAGAAAAACTTTATTTTTAAAAATAACATTGATTAAATTCTTAAAATCCTATTGTGTTAATTCAAATATATGACAAGAATATAGATAAAAAATATAATTTTTTTAGTTTATTATTTCTTAGTTCAAAGTATGACACAAGAACAGACTGAGAGACTAGTAGATTAATTAGTGAGATACAGCTATGAGAGATTGTGGCATCAATGAAAAAGAATAAAGCAGTAGAACCAGAGTTTTACTCTCAGTAAAAGTATGGAAAATATTATGTGATGTTGGCATAAGGTAGTTAAAGGATCTTTTTAATAATATCCTATCAGAAGGGAAAATACCAAAGAATGGAAGAATAATATTTTGGTGCTAATATTTAAAGGTATACAGCTTATGTGACATTATCAAAGACTAGTGGTGTGGAGATCAAGGAAATGGATTAAGAATTAGTAGGAGTAAGACATAGTATATAAAGTACGAGTTTAACAAAGACAAATACAAGGTTTGTGAATTAAGCAGATTAGTTACAAAAAGTGAGGACGTAATAATAGAGGTGAAAAGTTTTAAGTTACTAGAGAAGATAGAGAACAACATAATTTAGATGTTTTATATTACATCTATCCAAATTAATTAGTCCTTCACTGCATTGGTAGTACATATATGAATGTTTACAGAAGTTGCTTTAAATTTCATGTGTAACCATTTTTTAAATTGTTCTAAAACATAATTTTTTTTCAACATCAAATTTTAAATTTATGTATAATGGGTAAAAAAAAATTGAAGTTACTCATTTATTTGTTTATATAGTTTCTAAAGTATTAATGTAATGTTGTATTATTTTTAGATTAATATTTGTTCCACCATATATACAACCTTTGACAATAAGTAATCTGCTGTGGTCTATAGCTGTAGATGATTATATTTTAAAATTGATAACAATAATATTCAAGATTATTGTGATTATGTTACCTATCAAATTTTTGCCAATAATTAAAAGAGTAAGTGTGATTAAAAAGACATTATTAAATTAAAATATTGATTCATAAAAAAATACATAATTTTTTTTATATAGGGTAAGGTTTATTTATTTATTGAAGCTACATCACAACTGTACCGATGCTGTGTTCCAATTCAGCCATGGTTATATTATTTATTAGAATCATACCAAGGACCAAAGAAAGTAATTGGAGTTTTTTTGTCAGCAGCTTATATGGTATCAAAGGGTACTGATTTAATGGGATGTGTTAAACTCTGGTGGACAGCCTCTTATAAACTACTTCAAAATGTCGTAAGTAGATTCTATGTTTTAAAATAAAATGTGAATAAAGGTATAATTTTTGAAAAATTAAACAATTTTATATAATGAGTTTATTTTAAAAAGGGGATTATGAAAAGAAGACTTCTTATAATAATTTTTTAACAATTTATGGTATACTTTTTATCTTTAACAATTTCTACAAATATTAAGTATTTGACATAAAAATTTAACATTTATCCAATTATTAATAATCGAAATAGAATGAGAAGTAAAAATATAACATTTATAAGAAANACTCTGGTGGACAGCCTCTTATAAACTACTTCAAAATGTCGTAAGTAGATTCTATGTTTTAAAATAAAATATGAATAAAGGTATAATTTTTGAAAAATTAAACAATTTATGGTATACTTTTTGTCTTTAACAATTTCTACAAATATTAAGTATTTGACATAAAAATTTAACATTTATCCAATTATTAATAATTGAAATAGAATGAGAAGTAAAAATATAACATTTATAAGAAAAAAAAACTTATTTAAAATTTATTATTAGTTTCAAATAATGCATAAAATATTATGTATAATAAACTAAAACTTTTTATTGTATTAGAATATTATAGTAACCATTATGGTTTTACCAATTAATATAAAATTGGTTTTAGGCTTTAGGGACAGCTCCTAGTAAAGAACAATTAACTACAGCTGGTAGAAATTGTCCAATTTGTCATGATGAATATGTAACACCGGTTTTATTACAATGTCATCATATATTTTGTGAAGCATGTGTTGCCAAATGGTTTGACCGTGAACAGACGTGTCCATTGTGCCGAGCCAAACTTGTTGATGATCCAGCCTGGCGGGATGGTTCTACAACTAACTTTATACAGCTATTCTAATACTCTTACTGACATATTAAGCTTTCTAATTTAAGATTTTTGTTGTTGTATTTTATTACCAATATTATCAAATGTTATGTTGTAATTATTACTTACATTATATTTTTTTAAATTTAATTTGTTAATTATTTCGTTGTACTTTTGAGTCGATACTCTTTATGAGTGATAGACATTATACTTTTATATTTTCTTTTATTATTAACACATATTTGCAATTGTCTGTGATAGATGTTCATTATGGTTGAAAAATTAAAAATAATTTTTTTTAATGTTTATGCTAAAGTAATATTGAAATAATTTATATAATTTTTGTCAAGTATTTTAAGAATTTAATGAAGCTATATTGTATAAAAAGAAATTGAAATATTTTTAAGTGACTACCCATAATTGTAATATATTATTAAAGATGAATAGTACACATACAAAATATTAGATTAAATATAACCGCCAATTAATATTTAAAGTTTAATTCTTCTCTTAAGCATCAAACTTTATTCCTTTATCATAACTAAATTTATTGATTGAAATAAAAATCTAATTAACCTTTTTCCAATTTATGTTTTTAATTCTTTTATTTTCCAATGTTCATTATTATATATATTAATAAATAAAATGCTGGATAACTATGATCATAATAAAATAATCATTTTCATTTAATCATTTGATGAACCTTTTATACCTTATAACGGTGTATAACTTTCAAAAGATAATATTCATAATTAACTATTTTATATTGACTTTTATTGACCAGTAATTTTCTTAATTAGATAGTTATCTATTAAATAATTTTTTGATTAATTAAGTGCTTCATGATATATGAATCATTCTGTATATGATTGTATAAAAACTTAGGAAGGGTGTTGTGATGGGCTTTCATGTAATGAGCCTCTCCAAATATTTTATTGAAATTGTGATGATGGTCTAGATCATTTTTTTGTTATAAAATTTATGATTGTAATGGTTGAATGAGATTATTTTTGGTAGTGCACAAGTAAAAGCATTTCCTTTTAAACTAAAAAAATGTTTAAAAGAAACCAATCAAATGTTAAATTATAAAAGTTGTTATAAAAATTATGTAAGTAAATTTATTGTTTCTAAATGAATTTCATTTATATTAATCAACGCTCTTTAGCCTTTGGAGTACTAATACAAAATTTGTATAAAATTAATAAATGTTTTTTGTCTAGAAAATTCTCTTTAATAATAATAAAAAAATATTTATAATTGACCAACACGAAAATTTAAATTTATTATTTAATGTTGAAAATGAGAGGTTTCCAATGAATGAACAATTAATGATAAAAAATTGTAATATTGCAGTAAGACTTAGTTTCTTTAATATAAAATCTACCAGTGGTGACTCGTGGATTTTTAGATTTAATCTACTTACAACTATTTGAAACAATCAAATTAGACAATTTAAAAATAATATTATTTTACGCATACCATAAAAAAGTGATAAGTAAATCAAAAATATATATATATAATAAAACATTACACAATTGTAAAAAAAATTATCCAAAAAAAAGTTTCATTCCTCTAATATTTTTAGTTTAGGGATGATTTTGTGTATTAGTATGTTAGCATAACTATTTTAATTATTGATATTTCAGTCGGGGGTTATTATAATTCCTTTACAAGCCATACGTGTTGTACACAATTTATTAAAGTAACATTTTTATCGTTATTTTACCTTAAACGTATGTAGAGTAGTTTTTCCAAGTGCACATACTGATATAGGTTAACATTTGGTGATCATTGCCAGAATGTGACGTGATGCAGAGAGCATCCTGTGTGTAGTTTCTTACTATTGTTTTAAAACAACTACACGAATGTGAAACCACAAATGTTCGTATTGTGGTAGGCCAATGTGAGACGCACAGACGTTCGCTTTGCTTATATTGTCAGAACAAAGCACCAGCAATTGATATTTTGTGGTATGCATTTTGGTTTAGCATTTATTACAAGGGTGTAATTAGAGGGCATGGCTTTACATGAGAAACGAAGCGTTTCCTGATGGTAATGTGCTTTGATTTGAAAATATTATGCATTTTTTTGGAAATTTGGATTGTGTAGTATCTTAGTAATAGTTATCAACTATAATTGATATATACATATATTATTATATAAATGTTCAAATTGTCTTAATTCATAAGATTACTTGAATTTATTAATAGTTTCTCCAACAAATCCAATATAAAAAATATTAGTTAATAAACGTTTAAGAATAATAATTAAAATAATTTACTAAAAATGTCCTCAATATAAGACTATAGGTATTTATATAAATGCTTTTAATTTATAGTGAAATAATATTAAATGCAGAATTTCAATGTGTAAAAACTTTTTCTATAATTTATCTGAGTATTTGTGTCTTAAAAAAAAAAATGTTTTAATAAATATTTTACCAGATTTTTGAAAAATATATTAAAGTAATAAAAAAAAGTTTATACGCATATTTTATAACGCTAAAGTTTCAAAATAATTATTTAACAAAATTTATTATTGAAAAATGTATCTTGACTCGTTTTTTAATTATTTTGATGGTATAATTTCACTAAACCCAAGCTCCTTAAAGTGTTTAACAAGCAACATATAATACACAATTGTTAATTTGTTCCGCACAATAAAATTTACTTATTTGTTGCCACTAGAAAATGGTTCCTAAAATATCTATGTGTAAATATTACGAATAAACGATACATTTTATAATTTTGTGTAAAAGGATTCTTTGCGTATTACAAACAACACCAAGTTTATAGAAATTCTGTCTTTTTGATAAACCAGAAATTCGTTATGTTTTACTTCCTCCCGTTTGTATCACTGGTGTTTTTTATTAACTCTTGGCAATTGTTTTTTGAGTTAAATGAAAAATTCAGGAGGAAATTACCCTGTACGCGGGTTACTTATAAATACGTTTAAAATACGACTTTGTGCTTGTACATAATGAGCACCGGATGTCTGTGGTGTGCACCGATTTATTCCCTCAGCGGCCCCACATTAGCATTAATGTACTTGAAATATCCAAAACACGCACGAAAAAAATATTCTCGTGTATATGTATAATATTAAACACATCGATATGGTATTTCGGTGTGTTTTATTATCGTAAAACCGCCGTAGCTTTTATTATTGATTAATATATAAAGAAATCTTTGACAACATTTGAAAAAGTTAATTGCAAAAAAATTATTTTATCTTTGAAGAATTAAGACGTCAGGAACGTTGAAAAGGTTTTAGAAAATAGTATAGTTAGCAGGCGTACACACGGACATTTTTTTTCTCGGAAGTATGACTATGGTTTCAGTTTTTTATTAACTTATATATTTTATTTAATCGACTTACAGGCCGAGTTATAGCTAATCATTTTTTTTATCTATTATTTATAAAATAAAAATTAAAGATACCTTATAGTAATTACACACGTAAAAAAATCATTTTTCTATCGTAAACGGTTAAAAATTGTATAATTAGGAGAACCATTTTATAGCCCAGATAGCAATTTTAAAAATAATACTATAAAAACATTTTTTGAAAAAAAAAAAATAATTAAAAAAATGAGAATAATAAAATCAACAATCTTAGTAATCCCCTACTAAGCACGTTTAGTTAAACTGAATCAATCCGGTTGGGAATTATGGAAGTATTTACCGATGTAAAGCAACTGCACAATATATTTCATGTAGCCATAATACATGTACAGGGGTAAATAATTCAGTTGTAATACCAATGAAACAATTGAAAAATGGTATCATTGTTGGCGATAGTTATTGTAAATTAAATGGCATTATGATTTATTACATTTAAGCAGTGTTAAAATTGTGCTTTTCGGTTGTGAAATATGTTATTAGGTGATAAGTGATTGTATTGCGCGAAAAAACTATTTGAGGTTGGGTTGGATTTTGTTGTGTAAACCGATTAGAATTCGTCGAAGGTTTGGCTATATTTTTATGTAAATAAATAAATTACTTGTATGCTTGCTTTAACATAATTTATATGAAAAGGCCTATAATAAAGCGTAATCATTCATAAGCCGACAGATATTACTTTGTTAATTATAAATTAAATAATTATTCGTAGCTCGTGATCTAACTCATTGAAGTGTTAGAACAATTTAAATTACTGAAATATGTAAATAACCATCTCATTAAACATATTTTATTCGCCCCTAATTGCACTAATCCGTAGAAAATGTGTTATTTTATTTGCCAAGCTATTGTTTTAATAATATAAAATTCATCATCTACACTAATTACTTTAAAACTATTGTTTAATGATGATTCTTATGATTAATTATTTTTATATTTTTGTAACTGTAAACAAGAGTACCCGTGAGTAATTAATTATAATTAATATAATTTACTATAAATTAAAAAAATAAAGACAAAATATTTAATCATTAATAGTTATCACCTGTAAAAATTATTTTATCTTGCGCGCGTATATAAAATAAATAAAAAATACTGAAAAAACACTGTTATGAGTCAAATATTTCAATGAAATCTATTCAAAGTCCAAACTCATTGCGCTACTTTGCCTCAGGCGACTCCGAAGAATTGTGCATTGAACTATATTGAAATTATTACATGTAGTTAAAATGAAAAAGATATATGGGTACAATGGGTCATATTGTAATGTTTTCACTTTCTGTAATGTTGTTCTCAATAGAATAATAAATAAATTTAAAATTCCTTGTTGCTCAAAATGTCTTGTTTATTACCTAAAAAGGTAATATTCATTTGAATTGTATACCAATGCTAGTTGAAAAAAGACAAATGTCGAGGCAAAATAAGTACTAAAAAGTGTTAAACCGATTAAAAATAGGTCTAAAACCAAGTTTAATAACAGAATGTATAATGTTACGTTAAGATGTGTTAGAGTCTCAAATCGCATATTTTCAAGGGGTCAGTATTGGAAAAATCTAAATTATAATGAATAATAAATAATTAGAATTAGAATAAGTAATGAAAAAATCCATACACTCTAAGCGCTTACAGTATATGAAAATATATTGAAATTGTTATACATGAAATTAATTATTACATTATAATTATTTCCGATCGGAATAATTATAAATGATATCAAATAAATTGTATTTTCACTGCAATTTATAGACCATTTCATCGTAACAAAAAAAGTATTTTATGTTTAATTAGATCCAATGATAAATGTGAGTTGTGCTAACGAGAAAAAATAATAATCATTTTATTTTCAAAAACTATTTAAATAAAATTATTTATTATTAATAAAAGTCTAGATTAATATTTAGTGGCTGCTATGGGTACCTATAAATGGCGCGCACGTATGCAACATGATAATTTAGTTACTTATTTTTATATTATTTGGAAGCTTATCAAACATCATTGGAGTAAAGCAGATATATGAATATAACTCCATGTATTTCACATTTATGATTTAAAATAATACCAAATCGCGGCGTGCAATCGTCCAAGATTA